TGGAAGTAGAAGCTTCTGAGCCTCCTGATGTGGATGTTGACAAAGACATTGTCAAATGGAACTGCAAGTTCAATGTGCTCTGATTGGGCCAAAATAACACGTTTGGCTGACTGCAGCCCCAGACAATACATGCCCATCTGTACTTGCATGTACTAACCTCTGGGCCCCTTTGGGTACACTACATTGCTGATTGAATGTGTTTTTTACGATGATGTTTGATTCTGATTACAAGAGTATGATTAAGTGTTATAACACAGGGCAGAAGAGTGAAGAACGGAAGGTACATGGTCTACTCAGATGGGCGCAGAGGATTCTTTATAAAAAAACATAACACACATAAAGGTTTCATAATTCCTAAAGGTCATGTTAACTGATTTATATTATATAATTAAACAAAACTTACAAGATCTCATAAGCCTGTGTTAACCTCAAACCTTATTTTCGGCGTTTATACCAAAATCCCATTCTTTCCCCATTCATTTTGCCCATAGGAATGGCTGAACGAACCAGGTAAATCATTTCAGGTTTTTAGGACTACAAGCTGGTGAGCTCTACTGTAATATCTTGGTGATAATTGCAGTTCTCATTCATGCCGCAAGGTGGTATAGACCTACCAGGTGTAATACCAAATCTACAACAATTATGACCTAAATCTCACCTTCAGGGCTTTAAAAAGCTTTCATGGAGAACCATTGGGTTTTAGAATTGGCATGCGGAGGTCATATGCCACTTCTTGTGGGTGGCAGGGGCATCCCAACAGAAGGCTTGTTGAAGTTCAAACCTGCCACTGGTTTTGGATCAGCCTGAAATATGAAACAGTGATCTACATTTTACATTTTAGTCATTTAGCAGACGCTCTTATCCAGTGGGCCTTACAGTTAATGCATTCATCTTAAGATAGCTAGGTGGGACAAACACATATCACAGGCATAGAAAGTACATTTTTCCTCAATAACGTACCCATCAGTAGAGTCAGGTATTCTTACCTTCTTTGTCACCCGTGACCAGACACTTTTATTTTATGTTAATGATGGACCAGTCTGAAGTCCCTCCGACGCACTCTCCAGGATGCACCATACCGGAGAAAGGAAGGATCTGAGGGGTCCTATCCTGCCCCCGTCTCTCATCGTTGCACCTGTCATTTGGAATGTAGAAGAAGACATCTGTCTGGCGACTCAGGAGGATCCAGCGCCTGCCAATGCCCCTCCGGGGCGCGTGTATGTACCCACCAGTGTCCGTGACCGCCTGCTGATCTGGGCGCACACCACCCTTACGGCAGGGCACTCCGGTATTACACACAACCTGCATTCTCTATTACAAAAATACTGGTGGCCCACCTTGGCTACTGATGTCTCTCGCTATGTCAACTCCTGTTCTGTATGTGCCCAAACGAAGACACCTCGGAACACCCCGGCAGGCAAACTAGTTCCTCTACCAGTGCCTCAGCGACCTTGGTCACACCTGTCCATAGACTTTGTCACCGACCTCCCACTTTTCTGACGGCTTCACCACAGTCATGGTGGTCGTAGATCGGTTCTCAAAATCATGCCGTTTTTTGCCATTAACTGGTCTTCCTTCTGCTCTCCAGGTCGCTGAGGTCCTGTTCCAACAGGTCTTCCGGCACTATGGACTTCCGGAGGACATCGTCTCGGACCGTGGCCCCCAATTCACCTCCCGAGTGTGGAAGGCTTTCCTGGAGAAGATCGGGGTCATGGCCAGCCTCACTTCTGGGTATAGGCCTCAGTCAAATGGGCAGGTGGAGCGCATGAACCAGGAGCTGGGGAAGTTTCTTCATTGCCACTGTCAGGACCAGCAGGGTGAGTGGGCGAGGTTTCTTCCCTGGGCAGAATATGCCCAGAACTCACTTGTTCACTCCTACACGGGGCTCACTCACTTCCAATGCGTCCTGGGTTACCAGCCGGCCCTGGCCCCTTGGGCACCCAGCCAGACCGATGCGCCCGCTGTCGACGAGTGGTTCTGCAGGGCCGGACAGGTCTGGGATGCCATCTATGTCCGTCTCCAGAGGGTCATTCGTCAGCAGAAGGACCAAGCTGACCACCACCGCAGTGAGGCTCCCGTATTCTAGCCTGGTGATCGTGTCTGGCTGTCCACTCGAAACCTCCCTCTCCGCCTGCCCTGCAAGAAATTGAGCCCCCGACTTGTGGGGCCGTTTAAGGTCCTCCGGCAGATTAATGAGGTTTCGTACCGGCTGCTCCTTCCCCCTCACTACAGTGTCTCATCTACTTTTCATGTGTCTCTCTTCAGGCCGGTGGTTCCTGGTCCTCTGGCGGATGCCGTCCCCCGGGGTACGCTCCCTCCACCCCTAGATGTTGACGGGAGTCCGGTGTATGCTGTGAGGGACCTGCTGGACTCCAGGTTCCGTGGGGGATGGCTCCGTTACCTGGTGGACTGGGAGGGGTATGGCCCTGAGGAAAGGAGCTGGGTTCCAGCTGGGGACGTTCTGGACCCAACCAAATTCGGGACTTCCACCGACGGCGCTCTGACCAGCCCACTCCTCATCTTCGGGGTCGTCCTCATGTACGTCAATGTCCTGCGGTGGGAGCCGCACATCCGGGGGGGGGGGGTTACTGTCACGTCTCCTCCCGTTGCTCCCCTCCGGCGCTCTGACTCGCCGATCTACTGAGCCACCGGTCTGAGTACACCACCTCGGCAACACAGGAATGGAAACCCAACGCACCCTAATCACCTCCAGCGCACCTGCACCTCCTCATCTCATCACTACCACTATATAGCCCTGGACTGTTCAGTCACTGTTGTGTGTAATTGTTAGCGTCATGTCGTTTACTCGCTCCATGTTATTCTCTTTCTCATTATTAAGTAAACCTTTACCTTGATTCCTGCGTCTGCGTCCTGCCTCTTCGTATCCTCAGTACTCGTCACAATACTTGCGTTCTCCCGTTCTTTCAAAGGTTATCTTGCAAGAACACCTGAGAGAGCAGACCGTCTAATATAGAAAATCGCAGAGCGCTTAAAACCACTACATTTGAAAACTACTTTGACGTGACGTCTAACCTAAATAGGAAACTGCATCATCACGCAAACAGCGTCAACAAAGCTAGCTTTTATGCTAGCTAGCTACGTCTGTTTACATTGTAGCCTATATAGCAGTGTGAGCAACTAGTGCTAGGAATTCAGTGAACAACTGTTGCAGAATGAAAATACTTAACACGATTAAAAAGTAAACAAGTAACAGAATCGATTTTCTCAGTACCTGTTAGTGAATTAAGCTGACACCGACCCAAATAATTTTACGTGGGGACCTCCTCTCTACATAGAACACAAGTATGCAATTTGGAACACATCCAACATTTATCTATGAAATATCACATTATTTACACTGAAATATACATGTCTCAATTTGAATATACAAATAGTTTGATTTAAATAGAAATGTATAATTTTAACATGACTTTCTCTCTGTTTTACTTTTAGCTTGCTTGGACAGTTTCACCACCACCACCATGTGAGTTCTCTTCTTTTCCCTTACAGCTAAGACTACAGGGAGCACAGAAAACACACACACACACCTAGTATTTCACTGTAATTCTTTACCTTGTATTTCTAACAGTTTAGCAGAAGGCCACCACACCACATTAGAGTTGGTAAATTCATGAAAGAACAATATATATTTGCTAATTCATCTGTTTCTGATTCTTTGTCTCATTTGGAGCTCCATTAGTCCAGTAGTCTACTAGTTAAAAATCAAATCAAATCAAATTGTATTTGTCACATTCGCCGAATACAACAGGTGTAGACCTTACAGTGAAATGCTTATTAACAAGCCCTTAACCAACAATGCAGTTAAGAAAAAAATCACAAAAAAATACAATACAAAATAATACGAAATAAAAGTAACAAATAATTAAAGAGCAAAAGTAAAAAATAACAATAGCGAGGCTATATACAGGGGGTACCGGTACCGAGTCAATGTGCGAGGGCACCGGTTAGTCGAGGTAATTGGGGTAATATGTACATGTAGGTAGAGTTATTAAAGTGACTATGCATAGATAATAAGCAGAGAGTAGCAGCAGCGTAAAAGAGGGGTGCAAATAGTCTGGGTAGCCATTTTGATTAGATGTTCAGGAGTCTTATGGCTTGGGGGTAGAAGCTGTTTAGAAGCCTTTTGGACCTAGACTTGGCGCTCCGGTACCGCTTGCCGTGCGGTAGCAGAGAGAACAGTCTAAGACTAGGGTGGCTGGAGTCTTTGACAATTTTAAGGACCTTCCTCTGACACCGCCTGGTATAGAGGTCCTGGATGGCAGGAGGCTTGGCCCCAGTGATGTACTGGGCCGTACGCACTACCCTCTGTAGAGCCTTGCAGTCGGAGGCCGAGCAGTTGCCATACCAGGCAGTGATGCAACCATTCAGGATGCTCTCGATGGTGCAGCTGTAGAACCTTTTGAGGATCTGAGGACCCCATGCCAAATCTTTTCAGTCTCCTGAGGGGGTATAGGTTTTGTCGTGCCCTCTTCACGACTGTCTTGGTGTCCTTGGACCATATTAGTTTGTTGATGATGTGGACACCAAGGAACTTGAAGCTCTCAACCTGCTCCACTACAGCCCCGTCGATGAGAATGGGGGCGTGCTCGGTCCTCTTCTTTTTCCTGTAGTCCACAATCATCTCCTTTGTCTTGATCATGTTGAGGGAGAGGTTGTTATCCTTGCACCACACGGCCAGGTCTCTGACCTCCTCCCTATAGGTTGTTGTCGGTGATCAGGCCTACCACTGTTGTGTCATCGGCAAACGTAATGATGGTGTTGGAGTCGTGCCTGGCCATGCAGTCATGAGTGAACAGGGAGTACAGGAGGGAACTGAGCACTCACCCCTGAGGGGCCCCTGTGTAAAGGTGAGTAGATTGTGCTTTACTACTACAATATATAATTTGTACTATTTTGTCGCTGTTTTTCATGTAACACACAGATGTTCTGCAGTTATATTCTGAACTATGCCCCTCTCATCTCTCTCCTGTCCTCCCAAGTTAAGACAGAGCCTGTAAACAACAGTGAGACTGACTACCACAGAAGGCAGCACTGGACAGCCATGCAGGCGAAGGTAACAGCACACAGTTTCAGCCTCTCATTTCACCCTTTAAAATGTAGCCTAACACACATGACTACTCACAGATGTTGTTGGTGTACCAGCCATATTAAAACTAACTATCACCAAGCTTACCATTGCAGATATCCGTTTCCGTTCACATCAACACATAAGCTGTTCATGTGATGTCACCATTACTTTCACTCTTGTTACAAAATATCATTTTACCATATTTAGTCATAATCTCATATTTTCTTTCTCCTAGGAATAATACACTGCTCAAAAAAATAAAGGGAACACTTAAACAACACAATGTAACTCCAAGTCAATCACACTTCTGTGAAATCAAACTGTCCACTTACGAAGCAACACTGATTGACAATACATTTCACATGCTGTTGTGCAAATGGAATAGACAACAGGTGGAAATTATAGGCAATTAGCAAGACACCCCCAATAAAGGACTGGTTTTGCAGGTGGTGACCACAGACCACTTCTCAGTTCCTATGCTTCCTGGCTGATGTTTTGGTCACTTTTGAATGCTGGCGGTGCTTTCACTCTAGTGGTAGCATGAGACGGAGTCTACAACCCACACAAGTGGCTCAGGTAGTGCAGCTCATCCAGGATGGCACATCAATGCGAGCTGTGGCAAGAAGGTTTGCTGTGTCTGTCAGCGTTTTGTCCAGAGCATGGAGGCGCTACCAGGAGACAGGCCAGTACATCAGGAGACGTGGAGGAGGCCGTAGGAGGGCAACAACCCAGCAGCAGGACTGCTACTGTTACGCCCCTGAAAAAGGGGAGAAATAATCACGAGAGTGATGCAGTTATGTTTCCTCAATGAAAACTTTTGTATAATCCTTTTATAAAAATACCACATTTTACAGAACAACAGGAACTAGATAGTTTTGTAGGGTACAAAGCTTATTCAAGTCACAACAGCATAAACTGTAATTCACTAAAACATATACAAATGTTTCAATATAACTGTCAAACACAAAGTAGCTTTAGCTCAGTAACCCATAACTACATTTATCAACCATGTCAACAAAGTATTCGAAACACATTATACAAACAACCCCAAAATATATTATTAACAGCGCACATGTTCATTCACAATTAACATCAAATGGCAGCTACTCTCAGTACGAAGCTATTCTTCGCTGCAACCGAGCAGGTTTCACTCACACTCTGTCACGATCGTTACAGGAAGCGGACCAAGGCGCAGCGTGATAGGCGTACATACTTTTATTGCAGTACACACGAACCAAAACAACAAAACAAACGATACGTGAAGTCCTAGGTTATACACAAAAACAAACCTTAACGGAACAAGATCCCACAATAAACATGTGCCAACAGGCTGCCTAAGTATGGTCCCCAATCAGAGACAACAAGCTACAGCTGCCTCTGATTGGGAACCACTCTGGCCAACATAGAAATACACGAACTAGAACCAAAACATAGAAAATAACACATAGAACATCCACACCCTGGCTCAACATATAAGAGTCCCCAGAGCCAGGGCGTGACAGTACCCCCCCCATAGGCGCGGACTGCGGCCGCGCCAACCAAACACAAGAGGGTAGGGGCCGGGTGGGCATTCCGCCTCGGAGGCGGATCCGGCTCCGGGCGTGACCACCACTCTCTATCTACCCCCCCGTAGCGCCCCTGGTCTGGTCTGGCCCCGCTGGCCGGAGCTGGACTGGACATCGGTGGAGCGGATTGCTCTGGCTCCGGTTTGGAGCAGCTGACCGGTGCCGGACCAGGCACCGGTGGAACAGGCACGGACCGTGCCGGACTGACGATGCGCACCACTGGCTTGGTGCGGGGAGCAGGAACGGGCCGGACCGGGCTGACGACGCGCACCACTGACTTGGTGCGGGGAGCAGGAACGGGCCGGACCGGGCTGGCGACGCGCACCACTGGCTTCGCGCGGGGAGCAGGAACAGGCTGGACCGGGCTGGCGACGCGCACCACTGGCTTGGTGCGGGGAGCAGGAACGGGCCGGACCGGGCTGGCGACGCGCACCACTGGCTTGGTGCGGGGAGCAGGAACGGGCCGGACCGGACTGACGACGCGCACCACTGGCTTGGTGCAGGGAGCAGGAACGGGCCGAACCGGGCTGACGACGCGCACCACTGGCTTGGTGCGGGGAGCAGGAACAGGCCGGACCGGGCTGGAGATGCACACCACTGGCTTGGTGCGGAGAGCAGGAACAGGCCGAACCTGGCTGGCGACGCGCACCACAGGCTTGGTGCGGGGAGCAGGAACAGGCCGGACCGGGCTGACGACGCGCACCACTGGCTTGGTGCGGGGAGCAGGAATGGGCCGGACCGGGCTGACGATGCGCACCACTGGCTTGGTGCGGGGAGCAGGAACAGGCCGAACCGGGCTGGAGACGCGCACCACAGGCTGACACAACCCGTCCTGGCTGAATGCCTATTTCTACACACTCTGTGTGAGGCATCAGCACAGGACGTACAGGGCTGTGCACTCGTACTGGCACTACAGCACGTGGCACTGGCGCAGGATATCCGGGACCGAGGAGGGGTACTGGAGGCCACGAGCGTTGAGCCGGCACACTCCATCCTGGCTGCATGCCCACCTTCGCACGACACGTGCGTGGTGCTAGCACAGGACGTACAGGACTGTGCCGGACCGCTCGCGGCACAGTACGCAGCTCCGCATAACTCGGAACCTGCCCAGTCTCACGCTGCCTAGCCTGAGTACGGGGAGTTGGCTGTGCTCTACCTCTAGGCTCCGCCAACCTCCCTTCCAGCCCCCCAAACCTGGTGGCCTCCTCTCCTAATCCGCCGATACGTCCTGTAAATGCCTCCAGCATCCCCGTCGTCCATGCCGTGTGCCCCCCAAAAAATGTTTATTGGGGTTGCCTCTCACCTGTCCGATGACGACCCGGTTGGCACCGCTTCTTCTCTCCTGCCTGGGCATCCTCCCTCATCGCCCTCCGGTAGCGGACGGCCTCCTCCTCTGTGATTCTCCCCCAACCGAGGAGGACATCTACCAGAGTAACCTCCTGTTCCATACCCGGCGTTTGCTCCTGCACACGCTGCTTGGTCCTATTTTGGTGGGATCTTCTGTCACGATCGAACCAAAACAACAAAACAAACGATACGTGAAGTCCTAGGTTATACACCAAAACAAACCTTAACGGAACAAGATCCCACAATAAACATGTGCCAACAGGCTGCCTAAGTATGGGACCCAATCAGAGACAACAAGCTACAGCTGCCTCTGATTGGGAACCACCCTGGCCAACATAGAAATACACAAACTAGAACCAAAACATAGAAAATAACACATAGAACATCCACACCCTGGCTCAACATATAAGAGTCCCCAGAGCCAGGGCGTGACAGTACCCCCCCCCCAAAGGCGCGGACTGCGGCTGCGCCAACCAAACACAAGAGGGTAGGGGCCGGGTGGGCATTCCGCCTCGGAGGTGGATCCGGCTCCGGGCGTGACCACCACTCTCTATCTACCCCCCCGTAGCGCCCCTGGTCTGGTCTGGCCCCGCTGGCCGGAGCTGGACTGGACATCGGTGGAGCGGATTGCTCTGGCCAACATAGAAATACACGAACTAGAACCAAAACATAGAAAATAACACATAGAACATCCATACCCTGGCTCAACATATAAGAGTCCCCAGAGCCAGGGCGTGACACACACGCACCTATTACTCTCTTCAACTTAACTCTAACTTACTCAAGATGTTACTAACACATACCTTAAACTCTCTTGACATGTTAGCAAGTTAATACATTCAAATTAACTCGTTTTATATCAATAACGTACCTGAAAAAGGGGAGAAATAATCACGAGAGTGATGCAGTTATGTTTCCTCACTGAAAACTTTAGTATAATGAGGAAAAAGACCGCGATTTCCCCAGAAAGTTGGGTGGAGACCAGAGCAATCGATCTCAGGTTCATAGATTAAGAGCATTTAGTAGATCTCAGATTAACACTTTTACCCTTAAATTAGGCACCACAAAATAAAGTAGTCAATATAACGTTTACACATTCCTCTTACAATATTTACCCTTTGTACACTTGACGGATTTTAACACAATTATGAATTTTATCAATCTCTATGAACTAGTACTGAATGCATGATCTTTTTAACCTTAGATATTTTAAGATCCTTACATACCATGAACTTACTAATACTTTTTAGTGTATAACAGGCTATGAATATGTCCTTTAACCTGTCACACTACCTCCGCCTTTGTGCAAGGAGGAGCAGGAGGAGCACTGCCAGAGCCCTGCAGCAGGCCACAAATGTGCATGTGTCTGCTCAAACGGTCAGAAACAGACTCCATGAGGGTGGTATGAGGGCCCGACGTCCACAGGTGGGGGTTGTGCTTACAGCCCAACACCGTGCAGGACGTTTGGCATTTGCCAGAGAACACCAAGATTGGCAAATTCGCCACTGGCGCCCTGTGCTCTTCACAGATGAAAGCAGGTTCACACTGAGCACATGTGACAGACGTGACAGAGTCTGGAGACGCCGTGGAGAACGTTCTGCTGCCTGCAACATCCTCCAGCATGACCGGTTTGGCGGTGGGTCAGTCATGGTGTGGGGTGGCATTTCTTTGGGGGGCCACACAGCCCTCCATGTGCTCGCCAGAGGTAGCCTGACTGCCATTAGGTACCAAGATGAGATCCTCAGACCCCTTGTGAGACCATATACTGGTGCGGTTGGCCCTGGGTTCCTTCTAATGCAAGACAATGCTAGACCTCATGTGGCTGGAGTGTGTCAGCAGTTCCTGCAAGAGGAAGGCATTGATGCTATGGACTGGCCTGCCCGTTCCCCAGACCTGAATCCAATTGAGCACATCTGGGACATCATGTCTCGCTCCATCCACCAACGCCACGTTGCACCACAGACTGTCCAGGAGTTGGCGGATGCTTTAGTCCAGGTCTGGGAGGAGATCCCTCAGGAGACCATCTGCCATCTCATCAGGAGCATGCCCAGGCGTTGTAGGGAGGTCATACAGGCACATGGAGGCCACACACACTACTGAGCCTCATTTTGACTTGTTTTAAGGACATTACATCAAAGTTGGATCAGCCTGTAGTGTGGTTTTCCACTTTAATTTTGAGGGTGACTCCAAATCCAGACCTCCATGGGTTGATAAATTTGATTTCCATTGATAATTTTTGTGTGATTTTGTTGTCAGCACATTCAACTATGTAAAGAAAAAAGTATTTAATAAGATTATTTCATTCGTTCAGATCTAGGATGTGTTATTTTAGTGTTCCCTTTATTTTTTTGAGCAGTGTATTTTATCCAGTGCTGGTGAAATGGACAATCAAACACATCAGCTGTTGCTTCATTGGATAATAAAATTGCCATGCAATCTTATATCTTGTCCAATCTGTATGTTATTTTGAAAGAATGTAGATTGGCCTACATGAAATTCTATGAAGGATGAGGATGGAATCCAGCAGGTTGTCCTACAGGAAAACGGCCCTGGAAATCTTGTGGAATTACCTGCAGGTCTCTTACCTACAGGATATCCCACATGATTTTGGGGGCATTTTGGTGTAGGACAATTCCTGCAGGTAGTCCTTCAGGAAACAATTCTGCAGAATTTATTTGAGGACCATCTGCAGGATTCCTGCAGGATTGTTTTCCTGAACGACTACCTGCATGATTCCTACAAGATCCTGCAGGAATTGGCCTACAGGAAAGTGGCCCCGGAAATCCTGTGGGATATCCAGCAGGACATTCTACTACTGCAGGATATACACTACCAGTCAAAAGTATACAGAAGATAGCCCTATTATGGCAAGCTGAAATAAGCAAAGAGAAACGACAGTCCATCATTACTTTAAGACATGAAGGTCAGTCAATACGGAATATTTAAAATAACTTTTTAAGTTTCTTCAAGTGCAGTCGCAAAAACCATCAAGCACTATGATGAAACTGGCTCTCATGAGGAAAGCCACAGGAATGGAAGACCCATAATTACCTCTGCTGCAGAGGATAAGTTCATTAGAGTTACCAGCCTCATAAATTACAGCCCAAATAAATGCTTCACAGAGTTCAAGTAACAGATACATCTCAACATCAACTGTTCAGACGAGACTGTGTGAATCAGGCCTTCATGGTCGAATTGCTGCAAAGAAACCACTACTAAAGGACACCAATAATAAGAAGAGACTTGCTTGGACCAAGAAACATGAGCAATGGACAGTAGACTGGTGGAAATGTGTCCTTTGGTCTGGAGTCCAAATTTGAGATTTTTGGTTCCAACCGCCGTGTCTTTGTGAGACGCGGTGTGGGTGAACGGATGATCTCCGCATGTGTGTTTCCCACCATAAAGCATGGAGGAGGAGGTGTTATGGTGTGGGGGTGCTTTGCTGGTGACACTGTCTGTGATTTATTTAGAATTCAAGGCACACTTAACAAGCATGGTTACCACAGCATTCTGCAGTGATACGCCATCCCATTTGGTTTGGGCTTAGTGGGACTATCATTTGTTTTTCAACAGGACAATGACCCAACACATCTCCAGGCTGTGTAAGGGCTATTTGACCGAGAATGAGAGTGATGGAGTGCTGCATCAGATAACCTGGCCTCCACAACCTCAACCCAATTGAGATGGTTTGGGATGAGTCGGACAGCAAAGTGAAGGAAAAGCAGCCAAGAAGTGCTCAGCATATGTGGGAACTCCTTCAAGACTGTTGGAAAAGCATTCCAGGTTGAAGCTGGTTGAGCGAATGCCAAGAGTGTGCAAAGCTGTCATCAAGGCAAAGGGTGGCTATTTGAAGAATCTCAAATCTCTAATTAGTCCTCCTGAGTGGCGCAGTGGTCTAAAGCACTGCATCGCAGTGCTAACTGTGCCACTAGAGATCCTGGTTCGAATCCAGGCTCTGTCGCAGCCGGCCGCGACTGGGAGACTCATGGGCGGCGCACAATTGGCCCAGCGTCGTCTAGGGGAGGGAATGGCCGGCAGGGATGTAGCTCAGTTGATAGAGCATGGTGTTTGCAACGCCAGGGTTGTGGGTTCAATTCCCACAGGGGGCCAGTATAAAAAAATATGTATTCACTAACTGTAAGTCGCTCTGGATAAGAGCGTCTGCTAAATGACTAAAATGTAATATATTTTGATTTAACACTTTTTTGGTTACTACATGATTCCATATGTGTTATTTCATAGTTTTGATGGCTTCACTATTATTCTACAATGTAGAAAATAGTAAAAATAAAGAAAAACCCTTGAATGAGTAGGTGTTCTAAAACTTTTCACCAGTAGTGTATATGCACACCTACAGGAATAGAGAAAAAATGCAATTTGGGTTTGAAAAGTGCAATGCATTAACAATTGATTGTGATTTCCATCCATTTCCCTATGGTTAAACCATTTTTTGCTCCACTCTGCCTGCCATTTAGTGTCCACTCTGGATATCTCCGTTTTTGTGGACAATGACCCAGGCGGAATAGTATTTAGACAACGTCTGGCCAGCCTCGATCACGCCGTGAACAACAGACATCATCTACACTAAACAGTGCCTTCAGAAAGTATTCATACCCCTTTCACTTATTCCACATTCGTCACCCGTTACAGAAAGCTGGACCTATTTACATTTTAGTCATTAAGCAGATGCTCTTATCCAGAGCGATTTACAGTAGTGAGTTCATACATTTTTTAAATATTATTTTTTTATGTTTGCCAGTTTGTCATGTTTAATTAACTAGCTACCGAAAATAACCGCTGTGGTGCGAATGCGAATAACATGCTAAATTGGCTAGCTAGCTAGCCACGGTGAAATGATAGCTAAATAGCTAGCTAGCTATTGGATTATACATTGAGTTTTTTTTTGCATGTTCAACTACACTGAGGGAAAAAAGTATTTGATCCCCTGCTGATTTTGTACGTTTGCACACTGACAAAGAAATGATCAGTCTATAATTTTAATGGTAGGTTTATTTGAACAGTGAGAGACAGAATAACAACAATAAAATCCAGAAAAACGCATGTCAAAAATGTTATAAATTGATTTGCATTTTAATGAGGGAAATAAGTATTTGACCCACTCTCAATCAGAAAGATTTCTGGCTCCCAGGTGTCTTTTATACAGGTAACAAGCTGAGATTAGGAGCACACTCTTAGGAGTGCTCCTAATCTCAGCTTGTTACCTGTATAAAAGACACCTGTCCACAGAAGCAATCAATCAATCAGATTCCAAACTCTCCACCATGGCCAAGACCAAAGAGCTCTCCAAGGATGTCAGGGACAAGATTGTAGACCTACACAAGGCTGGAATGGGCTACAAGACCATCGCCAAGCAGCTTGGTGAGAAGGTGACAACAGTTGGTGTGATTATTCGCAAACGGAAGAAACACAAAAGAACTGTCAATCTCCCTCGGCCTGGGGCTCCATGCAAGATCTCACCTCGTGGAGTTGCAATGATAATGAGAACGGTGAGGAATCAGCCCAGAACTACATGGGAGGATCTTGTCAATGATCTCAACGCAGCTGGGACCATAGCCACCAAGAAAACAATTGGTAACACACTATACCATGAAGGACTGAAATCCTGCAGCGCCCGCAAGGTCCCCCTGCTCAAGAAAGCACATATACATGCCCGTCTGAAGTTTGCCAATGAACATCTGAATGATTCAGAGGAGAACTGGGTGAAAGTGTTGTGGTCAGATTTGACCAAAATCGAGCTCTTTGGCATCAACTCAACTCGCCGTGTTTGGAGGAGGATGAATGCTGCCTATGACCCCAAGAACACCATCCCCACCGTCAAACATGGAAACATGGAAACATTATGCTTTGGGGGTGTTTTTCTGCTAAGGGGACAGGACAACTTTACCGCATCAAAGGGTTGATGGACGGGGCCATGTACCGTCAAATCTTGGGTGAGAACCTCCTTCCCTCAGCCAGGGCATTGAAAATGGGTCGTGGGTGGGTATTACAGCATGACAATGACCCAAAACACACGGCCAAGGCAACAAAGGAGTGGCTCAAGAAGACGCACATTAAGGTCCTGGAGTGGCCTAGCCAGTCTCCAGACCTTAAAGCCATAGAAAATCTGTGGAGGGAGCTGAAGGTTCGAGTTGCCAAACGTCAGCCTCGAAACCTTAATGACTTGGAGAAGATCTGCAAAGAGGAGTGGGACAAAATCCCTCCTGAGATGTGTGCAAACCTTGTGGCCAACTACAAGAAACGTCTGACCTCTGTGTTTGCCAACAATGGTTTTTGCCACCAAGTACTAAGTCATGTTTTGCAAAGGGGTCAAATACTTATTTCCCTCATTAAAATGCAAATCTATTTATAACATTTTTGACTTGCGTTTTTCTGGATTTTTTTGTTGTTATTCTGTCTCTCACTGTTCAAATAAACCTACCATTAAAATTATAGACTGATCATTTATTTGTCAGTGGGCAAACGTACAAAATCAGCAGGGGATCAAATACTTTTTTCCCTCACTGTATGTAGCTAGCTAGGTAGCTAGATAACTAGCTAAGTTAGCTAGCTAGCTAAACAACTACCGGTAGCCATATCTATGACAAAAAATAGAATACATTTTACAATCTGAGATGTTTTGTATCTCAATTGTAAAACATTTTCTCTTTTTAGTCGTAGATATGGTTAGCTGCTAAACAGCAAGCTACAGTGTTACAACCAGACACCTAAAGCTAGATTTACCAGCAAATGTTAGCACATGACTGGAGTTTGCTAGCTAGTTAGCTTGGCGCCTGCTTACTTACTATGCGCCACGCCTCGCATTTGTAACTTGTTAACAAACATGTGTAACATCACTAACTGTAAATAATTGTACTAGCTAGCTATGTAACACAACTGACGAGGGTTGACATTGGTTATGATTATGACCTTGGATGCATTTAAATCTCACAAAAGTATAGACATGACGCAAGATAGGATTCCAAACAGATAAGAAGTATTGCACATCCAGAAAGCTAGCTAGCTATGTTTACTACCAAACAGTGAGGAGAAACAATAATACATCAATTTACTGTTGTAAATCTCTAAAATGGAAGCTGGTTTTACTATTTAAAAAACAATTGCCTAAGCATGCCTAATAGACATGGCTGTAGGTAGATAATGTCTGCCTACCTACCTAGCTCATTTCTACGGTCTGGCCACTGTGCAAAGATTGAGGGTTATGCCATATTTCTTTCTATTAGGCTAGATATTGTTGTAAATGTAATCTCTTGATGTTATGCTGGCACGGTTCAACTGTTCAAACTGTACAATAGAGTATAATTATAGATTATATAGTGCCTGGGATTCTTCCTGGAGTGGAATCTAGATACAGAAACTGAATTCCTTTGCCTGGGTGTGTCATTGTAGCAGAACTGTATCCCATGAACTGTATCCCTCTTGAGGGATTAGTCATTATGCTGGATTTCAAGCAGATGCCTCATGAGCGGCTGAATGGCAGTTTGATCATGACAACACTCCTCCCACAGCTTTACAAGTATTCCCTGAATTTACTGTATGTTTCTTTGGAATGGCAATTTCATCATGACCACCTCTCCCATCATCTGCTGATCACCAGTTCTCCTTGCAACAGATTGTTACACTAGATAATGTGATTTAACCAAATACTTTTGGTGTCCATTACTGGGAGTTACAGGATAGGTACTGTTTGGTGTAGCACAGAGAATTTCCGGGTAAATTTTTTTGCATCTTAAAGTAATCCAACAATATGTGCGCCGCCGTAGTGTCTATTTCAAGTCTTTTCACTCATTGATCGAGACAGGTCTCTGTCATCATGACATGGAGCACTTTGGGGTGGATACTTTTAGGATATAACATTGTTGTTGAATACCAAGTTATTGAGTCAGCATTAAATAGTGTACACTCTCCTGTATTTTAGATTGACAAATAAACAAACATTCTTTGGATATCTGAATGTCTAGCATCTGTTTGATGAAACAGAGCCCTGTACAGCTTACATAAATATATTCTGTGAATCCATAAGGGCAGACAAATTTCGAAGATTGATAGAAAATATCAATATTTATTTTATGGTGGTTCTACATCAAGGCTCGCCAAACCTGTTCCTAGAGAGCTACCGTCCTATAGCTTTTCACTGCAACCCTAATCTAGCATACCTGATTCTAGTAATTAGCTGTGTTTACACAGGCACCCCAATTCTGATATTTTTTGGGCTGCCTGTGTAAATGCAGCAATAGTCCTTTATCCGGCTTCGGTACACTGGCAATGGTGGGCTGGGGAAGCTGAGACTCTTTGTGCTTATGGCGATGGGCTTGTCCTGTCTGCGGTGAATGGTCAGCTGGATAAGACTCTGCCGAAAGTGGTGTAGGGCTTCTTAACTATCAACTGTTTGGTCCTCTTGCAGAAGATTTGCTAGTAATGCACGTCTCCTGGAAAGACATGGTTGTGCTCTTAGCATTTTACACTTTTTGTGGAAGGGACATAGGGCAACACGCCTTTGTTGGTAAAGATATTAACCAAATGAGACTGGCTAGCGTATTGTTTAAGGACAATGAGGGGACATTGGGAGCTACTTTTGAGAGGAAAGATCAGTCAACAAAGTGAATGGGTTGGGGGGCTAAAGAAGGTGTGAAATGTTTTAGGAAGAACTTCATGAAATGGGTTTCCACTCTAGGGGTTGTGCCAGGGGGCCATGAAATGTACATAGCAAATCTCACTCCAAGCTTTCTTCAAAAGTTGGCAGCCCTGTTACTTTTATCACTTTTCTATTATTTCTCTATTTTCTTTATCTCTACACTGTTGGGAAGGCCCCTAAGTAAGCATTTCACTGTTAGTCTACACCTGTTGTTTAAGAAGCATGTGAAGCATGTGAAGCTCGCTTCGAGGCAAGCAACACTGAAGCATGCATCCAGCTGTTCCGGATGACTATGTGATCGAACTCTCCGTAGCCGATGTGAGTAAGACTTTTAAGCAGGTCAACATTCACAAGGCCGCAGGGCCAGACGGATTACCAGGACGTGTACTCCGAGCATGTGCTGACCAACTGGCAAGTGTCTTCACTGACATTTTCAACATGTCCCTGACTGAGTCTCTAATACCAACATGTTTCAAGCAGACCACCATAGTCCCTGTGCCCAAGGACACTAAGATAACCTGCCTAACTGTGGTAGGCCTGATCACCGACAAAGATGAGACCGCCTATAGGGAGGAGATCAGAGACCTGGCCGTGTGGTGCCAGGATAACAACCTCTCTCTCAACGTGATCAAGACAAAGGAGATGATTGTGGACTACAGGAAAAAAAAGAGGACTGAGCACGCCCCCATTCTCATCGACGGGGCTGAAGTGTAACAGGTTGAGAGCTTCAAGTTCCTTGGTGTCCACATCACCAACGAACTATCATGGTCCAAACAGACCAAGACAGTCGTGAAGAGGGCACGACAAAGCCTATTCCCCCTCAGGAGACTGAAAAGATTTGGCATGCGTCATTAGATCCTCAAAAAGTTCTACAGCTGCACCATTCGAGAGCATCCTGACTGGTTGCATCACCGCCTGGTATGGCAACTGCTCGGCCTCCGACCGCAAGGCACTACAGAGGGTAGTGCATACGGCCCAGTACATCACAGGGGCCAAGCTTCCTGCCATCCAGGATCTCTATATCAGGAGGTGTCAGAGGAAGGCCCTCAAAATTGTCAAAGACTCCAGCCACCCTAGTCATATACTGTTCTCTCTGCTACCGCACGGCAAGCGTTACCGGAGCGCCAAGTCTAGGTCCAAAAGGCTCCTCAACAGCTTAAGACTCCTGAACAGCTAATCATGGCTACCCGGACTATTTGCATTTTTTGCACTTCAAGTACAAATCCATAGAAAAAGTATGGAGCCAGATAGCTGCCAAAAGGTTGAACGTACATATCGTTAGGATCGTAAGAAAATCCATACGTACATTTGTTAGGATTGTAAGAAAAGCCATGCGTGAAACATAAAACGTAACCGTTAAATTAGATCTGTAAACGTACAACCCCTATGTTACGACTATGAATGAACATTTACATGTTCAATTCTTACTTTATGTCTCCCTTTACTCAGTTACAGATCTTTTTTATATTTGTCAGGAATGTGGCATCTGCAAGGACATGAACCAAAAGTAGCGAGTCGAAGAGAGCTAGTCAATCAAGCAACTCTAGCCCAGATGTTAGAGTTGCTTTGCAGCTTCCGGTTTCATTTCCAAAATAAAAGTCAAGAGCTTGTTTTAGAACGGCATTCGATAACGACGTTATAGCAGTAGATGGCGTAGTATAGACTTGGGCCTTCAGCAAATGACTTGTGTGAGAATGATACTAACAAATATAATGATACTAAAGACACAGAAGAGCCTTGTCTAGAATAATCGCCTGAGCTGCAAAATACTACTGTGGTGATCATGTAACCTAATGAATCACACTTTTTCCAGTATTTGGGAGCACGGACTGTAGGCCTTATTTTAGGCATTTTGACTGTTGTTTTTGCGAATTCCACTCGGAATGTAGGCTTGTTATAGCCATTTGTGTTGCACAACCCCATCACGCAGAGGCTATATCCATGTCAATATATGAAAACAAAACAAAATATTGATTAAGTCTTGGCTATAACCTCTCCTGAATGCAATAACCAAGAGGTCCCAAATGGTCAAGACTATCAGCCACTGCATGTGCTTCTTCAACTATTTTGTGAAACATTTATTTAGAGGCCTGTGAGCTAGGCTCTCTTTTTAAGGGGAGGCCTAGAATAAAAACTGTTATAAAACATAGAGTTCTAAAATTATTATGCAAGACACCAGTACCCAAAATGATAGCCTAAATTGCAATGCCTACAAGTTGAAGGGCTATTTTTTTTATTTGGATAGGCCTAAATTAAACATTAAATTATTAAAGTGATAGGTAAAGAACTTTCGAGAATTTAGATAATTTTGAATATACACATGGATTTCAATAAACAAATGGATAAGACTGTTCTATTCTTTGATTGAGTTCCTATTGCAACTCAGACAAATGACAGAATGGATGAAATACTGACTGACTGAACTGAATGATGGATTCATTAAATGTTCAAATATGTTGGAATGATGAGTTGCATGCATCATGCATGCTCTGCACTTTATTTGGCTAGTAGGCAAATAAACCTACATTAGGTATAATGACTCTATGGCTGCATGCCTCCAGAAGGGCATCTTCTGAGGGCTGAGGGGTGCTTTTCCGAAGGCACATTGTGCTGTGGTGCTGCATGGAGATCACAAGCTCTTTAACTGGGCAGCAGTGTCGCGATGGAGGGAATAACCTATACACAGACTACCTAAGACCACTGCAACAGAGTAATTGTAAAGTGTGGGAATACGCTTATGCCAGACTTAGCCTACGTTGTATGGAGGACTAAAAGTGCCACAATTAAATAAATAAATACACCATTAAATAATTACTTAAATGTGTCATTAATTAATTAAAATTAGAATTAAATACATAAATGTGTAATTAAATGTATCATTAATTAATTCAAATACCGATTCATTTTATGTAAAATACATATATAATTATTTCACTATTTACATTTACATTTCATGATCCTGCATTGCAGTGATTCATGAATTACTTAAAACTGTCAAACTGACCCATCAAAGTCAGTGGGCGGGGCTAACGCGAATCTAGTCTGATCCATTGCTTTGGTCTGAAGTAGAGTAGGCCAACCTGGATAGAGACAATGGAGGATCTCCGTGAACTTTCCAGGGAGTTGGTTAGAGACATTTTAAACTTAGCAGAGGATGTAGAAGCAGGACCTGCTGACCCAGAGCATGTAGCTAGTAAAGCAGAGGAACTTATTGAAGGTGAATAGCGCCACCCAGTGTATTGGAATGTGTTCAGTAGCTCTGCATCAATCCATTATCCGGAATTGATTTGTCTTGGCTTGATGCAGAGGGTAACCAATCAGGCGTTAGGTTCCGCCTACCAACTTTTGATGGGTCAGTTTGACAGTTTTAAGTAATTCATGAATCACTGCAATGCAGGATCATGAAATGTAAATGTAAATAGTGAAATAATTATATATGTATTTTACATAAAATGAATCGGTATTTGAATTAATTAATGATACATTTAATTACACATTTATGTATTTAATTCTAATTTTAATTAATTAATGACACATTTAAGTAATTATTTAATGGTGTATTTATTTATTTAATTGTGGCACTTTTAGTCCTCCATAACGTTGAACCTCTCCCTTGCTCATTTCAAAGTCCATATGTTCATGACCCGATTCATATAAATCATGTCAAATTATTTTAAATTAACCCCTCCTACAGAATATGCTTTGGCAAGATTTTGAGTGATGAAATACATTTCAACATATTCTATATTAAAATATTTTGAGTGGCAAAGACTACAGTGGTCATACATAATTCATAGATTCACCAAACATCTATTATTATTCTGTTTCATTATTCCTAGTAAATACTACTGGTTATGATTGCAGACAGAGCCCAGAGAATGGGATGGTGCAATATTGAATTAGTCATATTTTGATAAGGTGCATGCATGGTGATGTCCACGTCACCCAGAGATATGCCCATGCTGTAGAGATACACCTAGAGGACTGAAACTTCACTGCTGTAGGCATAATACAGCTAGGGCTATCTAGACTTAAGCTGGCAAACAAATCCATTACATTAGCTACCTAAATGTGAAGTAAACTCAATTGACGAGTAATAAAGAATGGAGACTTTTAAGTTGAAAACGTGCAGGATACCTCTTTCCGGTTTCTTTTTATACTGTGTTATGCTTGTTCGGGTAGCACTCCTCAGAGGCCGTTTGGTGGACGTTTTTTTTTGTTGGTGAGATGAACCTGCCAAAACTCTGAAAGGTATTATTTTGTAGGTCAGAATTGCAACACAATATTTATTCCAGCCTAAAATGTTAGTCCATAATTGTAACATGGTGTTTGTATGTTCCGATGAAATTTGACGTTTAGGTTTCATGCATGGCTTTTCTTACAATCTTTACAATTTAAGTATGGATTTTCTTACGATGCGTACGTTCAACCTTTTGGCAGCTGTCTGGCTCCATAAAAAAGTGTCTGGAGAAATTCACAAAGGAAGATGGCGGTGCAAGAAACAGCTGCCCAACTCTCCATGGCTCTGAAGGTTCAAGAATATCCCACTTTGAAGGTTTGAAATTGCTTATTTTACATTTTAATCGAGACGAGCCGATCATGATGCAGGCATGACCTTCAGATTTGTCAAACTAGGCACTAATTCCGATTATTTGGATGACTAGTTAACGTTAGCTAGCGACGCCAGGGCAGGGGGCAAGTTGGTTCAAAACAACGGTTTATGTCAGATGGTGAAGATTACGAACAGATTTGATGGTGTGGTCAGATACACCAATCTCAACCTAGTAGTTTGTAAATTATCGAGACGATTGGAGGTTATTTACTAACTTTGTTAGCTAAAAATAGAATTTCGTAGTCATTTATTTAGCTAGCTAGCCAGACAGTTTAATAAGATGATACCTGTCAGCTAGCTAGGCTAACTAGCAAACTTTAGCTAACTAGCGGGTTCTCCGTCGATATTTTTCTGTGACGTGTGAAGTCAACTATTCATAGCTAACAATTTGCTGTCTTAAATAAATGTAACTAGTTAAATAACTAGCTAGGAGACATGTAACGTTAGCTATCCACGTTTGTTTCCAAATTCACCACAGCTAGTGAAATCAACATGACATAATGGGTCCTCACCAGCTGCGAGGTAAATTACAGCGTCCCCAAAAATATTCTGATGTACAGTAGCTAGCTAGCTAGTAAATCCAAAGCGACATGATGCATCCTAGTTAGTTGATCGTTTGCAGCTGTATACATATGTTCTGTACGTGGTCAGTGACTAGTAGCTATAGCAAGATAGCTCGATGAAAAAATGCTATCTAGCTAGCGCAATGTCCTCAAAGTACTACCTCTATATTGCTGAGAAGATCTAGTCTGCAGCCATATCACAATGCGACACTATTGTTCTGTGGCAGCTGCTAGACAGCCAATGTTTGCTTTGTAAGTGGCCATTTTATCTGAATAGAAATTACTTCAATAAGGGTTGCACGAGTAGTTGAATGCCATTTGAGTGGTGGTTATGTTAGCATAATTAGACGGTTATGTAAGATTTCTATTCTGTGTTGATGCCTTAGTGATTGGTTGGAAAGTGTTATATATTGGAGGATATGTTCTCAACAAGTTATGGGTCAAATAATTGGAAACTTCAGCCAAAGAATGATTATTAGATGGTCAGAATGTACTACCGAAACCACCTCACTTAGGTTTTGCATTGTTCATTTGTACAGGTACCATATGAAACTCTGAACAAGCGCTTCAGAGCTGCACAGAAGAACATTGACCGGGAGACGAGTCACGTAACCATGGTGGTGGCGGAGCTGGAGAAGACCCTCAGCAGTTTCCCAGTGGTGGATTCTGTGGTGTCCCTTCTGGATGGGGTGGTGGAGAAGCTCAATGCCCTGAAGAGAAAGGTAGGTTCACCCAGTTGCTCTCAGAAGAATTAGCATTGGAATGCTGTGCAGCTTTTTTTTAAAATGGCATTCCTCCTCCAACCCCAGATAGCTTAGCTACTGCTATTTCAGGGAGAATTGCTGAAAGTTAAGCCAACTTTACATGTTTTCAAATCCAAGCACATGTCAAATCTTGTATATGTTTATTGAGCGATTTCCAAGACAGAATAATGATTCATCAACATGAAAGTTAGTAGAAAAATATAGCAGTAAAATACAATAGAAAGAGAGGACCCAGCAGAGCAGAGATACTGCATGCAGTAAGTATACAAAATCTAAATGGTGGATGTTGTGTAGGCTGCTGAGTCCATCCAGGCTGAGGATGAGAGTGCTAAGCTGTGTAAGCGGAGGATTGAACACCTGAAGGAACATAGCAGTGACCAGCCAGCAGGTGTCAACGTCTGGAAGAAGAAACGAATGGACCGCATGATGGTAGAACACTTGCTGCGGTGTGGCTATTACAACACAGCAGTCAAACTGGCACGGCAAAGTGGCATCGAGGTGCATCCCACTTCTATCTGTCAACATGTCATCTTATATTCATGGATGCTACAATCTAGTTCCTTATTCCTTACAGCAAGAGACTTCTGTGGTGTCCAATTGCTTGTAGTGCTCCTAGTATTTAAATTGTTTAGAGAACTACATGTGCTGTCTCTATTTGACATAACCCCGCTTTCTCCCTGTCCTACAGGACCTGGTCAACATTGAGATGTTCCTCACAGCCAAAGAGGTGGAGGAGTCACTGGAGCGACAGGAAACAGCCACCTGTTTGGCCTGGTGCCATGACAACAAGTCACGCCTCCGCAAGATGAAGGTGAGCTGGGGGATTATGCCATGTCTGTTAGTAGAAGATGATGGCAGTGTCTCATACATTACGTTATGTATAAACTCATTGATGCTTCTCCTTCCAGAGCTGCTTGGAGTTTAGCCTGCGAATCCAGGAGTTTATTGAGCTCATCCGACAGAACAAGCGCATGGACGCTGTCAGGTAGGAAACCGTTTATACTGACATAGCACATCCTGTATTAAAATATTCAGGTTAATGTTGAAACAACATATTCATAGTTGAAATGAGAACAATCATGATCCATGTTTTTCACAGACATGCACGGAAGCACTTCAGCCAAGCAGAGGGGGGTCAGCTGGACGAGGTGCGGCAGGTGATGGGCATGCTGGCGTTCCCCTCAGACACCCATATCTCCCCTTATAAGGTAATACCATAGTAGTGATCTGTAGTGTGGGTGTGTGTGCGCACGCATATGCCTTTGTAGGGTTGGGTTAAATGCGGAAGAACCATTTTCATTTGAATGCATTCAGTTGTACAACTGACTAGGTATCCCCCTTTCCTTACAAGCACGATTCGATACGCATCTAGATACATGGACTCCGATATAGGAACGATACTTTTAATTTGAAACTATTGGATGCAGTTCGACATGATTTGATGCACTAACAATTGTTGCATGAACACATTCATTTTTCATTCTAAATTAATATCTTACCCTCATGGAGCTCAGGAGCTGAGCTGGATCTGTCTGAGCTGACTTCTCTGAGCTGTGTATGTGAGAATTTTGTAGTGTGTGTGTGTGAGCTGAGGCATATGGCAGACTGAGCATCTACCACTATCAGATTAGAGGGGGGTGGGTGCTCGCATGCTCCCTAAAAAGATGTTCGCTTGCACACAAAAAAAAGTTAATATTACCCCGGTACAGTAGAGGGTGATGAGCTGGTAATAGACATCTACGGCCAAACAAGGAAGACACATGCAGGAGAATAAGTGTACACAGAGACACTTGACTGGAGTTGTGTGAATTGCCCGGGATCTACTAGATTTGATGTACCTAGCAACACATATAATAGGCGACATACGGAGACCGAGAAGATGCCGCTACAGGTTCACAATTGTGGATGTAGGGGCATATAGTGGGGAAAAAAAGTATTTAGTCAGCCACCAATTGTGCAAGTTCTCCCACTTAAAAAGATGAGAGAGGCCTGTAATTTTCATCGTAGGTACACGTCAACTATGACAGACAAAATGAGAAAAAAAATTCCAGAAAATCACATTGTAGGATTTGTAATGAATTTATTTGCAAATTATGGTGGAAAATAAGTATTTGGTCAATAACAAAAGTTTCTCAATACTTTGTTATATACCCTTTGTTGGCAATGACACAGGTCAAACGTTTTCTGTAAGTCTTCACAAGGTTTTCACACACTGTTGCTGGTATTTTGGCCCATTCCTCCATGCAGATCTCCTCTAGAGCAGTGATGTTTTGGGGCTGTCGCTGGGCAACACGGACTTTCAACTCCCTCCAAAGATTTTCTATGGGGTTGAGATCTGGAGACTGGCTAGGCCACTCCAGGACCTTGAAATGCCACTCCTTTGTTGCCCGGGTGGTGTGTTTGGGATCATTGTCATGCTGAAAGACCTAGCCACGTTTCATCTTCAATGCCCTTGCTGATGGAAGGAGGTTTTCACTCAAAATCTCACGATACATGGCCCCATTCATTCTTTCCTTTACACGGATCAGTCGTCCTGGTCCCTTTGCAGAAAAACAGCCCCAAAGCATGATGTTTCCACCCCCATGCTTCACAGTAGGTATGGTGTTCTTTGGATGCAACTCAGCATTCTTTGTCCTCCAAACACGACGAGTTGAGTTTTTACCAAAAAGTTCTATTTTGGTTTCATCTGACCATATGACATTCTCCCAATCCTCTTCTGGATCATCCAAATGCACTCTAGCAAACTTCAGGCGGGCCTGGACATGTACTGGCTTAAGCAGGGGGACACGTCTTGCACTGCAGGATTTGAGTCCCTGGCGGCGTAGTGTGTTACTGATGGTAGGCTTTGTTACTTTGGTCCCAGCTCTCTGCAGGTCATTCACTAGGTCCCCCAGTGTGGTTCTGGGATTTTTGCTCACCGTTCTTGTGATCATTTTGACCCCACGGGGTGAGATCTTGCGTGGAGCCCCAGATCGAGGGAGATTATCAGTGGTCTTGTATGTCTTCCATTTCCAAATAATTGCTCCCACAGTTGATTTCTTCAAACCAAGCTACTTACCTATTGCAGATTCAGTCTTCCCAGTCTGGTGCAGGTCTACAATTTTGTTTCTGGTGTCCTTTGACAGCTCTTTGGTCTTGGCCATAGTGGAGTTTGGAGTGTGACTGTTTGAGGTTGTGGACAGGTGTCTTTTATACTGATAACAAGTTCAAACAGGTGCCATTAATACAGGTAACAAGTGGAGGACAGAGGAGCCTCTTAAAGAAGAAGTTACAGGTCTGTGAGAGCCAGAAATCTTGCTTGTTTGTAGGTGACCAAATACTTATTTTCCACCATAATTTGCAAATAAATTCATTAAAAATCCTACAATGTGATTTTCTGGATTTTTTTTTTTCTCAATTTGTCTGTCATAGTTGACGTGTACCTATGATGAAAATTACAGGCCTCTCTCGTCTTTTTAAGTGGGAGAACTTGCACAATTGGTGGCTGACTAAATACTTTTTTCCCCCACTGTATGGCCGAGAGAGCTATGGTGGAGTGTTTCAAGAGTTCTTTTGGGTCCAAATTGCTGCAGGAGACCCTTGATTTACCACCGCAAGCTATCCTGCCAGTTACCACAATGCGAAGTCCATATGTTTTCCTGGGAGATAGCTTTCCCCCTACATGAGAACCTCATGCGCCCTTATTCAGGTATGTTGATAATAGAATGTTCGAAACAATTTCACTTTTTCTGTTTCTAATTTCCCTTTTTAATGCATACATGTATTCACCTCTATGATGAATGCCATTTTATCAAGGCGCTTGGAATATGGTTCCTGGAAAATAGTATGGTATTTTTTTTGTTTACCATATGTGTATATTATATCTGACATTCTCTTGTTACCTCTCACTCACAGGTGTCCGTCTCAATGAACCTGAGGGTACCTGGAACTACCGCCACTAGTTGTCGGAGTGTCAGAGAATGCATTCAGCGTCATGGCTGCAAAGATGAGGATTCTTGGTCGCCTAATGGAGTGAATGGAATGAAAAGGAATGAAAAGGCAAAGGTCATGTGTGGCCCTCCACAACTACCTGTCCTCCACGGATGAAGCACATGAGCCAAACGCAAGATACGTGCCTCCCGCTGTTGTTGACACACACCTCCCTTCTGGCAACTACCAACCTGGAGAGTGGAAGAGGGTTGTGACAGGGGACAACAATCCCCATGAACCAGGGAGACATTCGCGCCAGGGTGACACGGCTTGCAGGTTAAACAAGTGGGAAGCTCTTCCATGGCAGGAAGACATGGTTAGGAGAGGACTACTCAACCCAAGTCCATCAATGATGCAGAATATATCTTTGTTTTGACTGCTCACACACACACACCCCTTGATGGACTCAGTGAACCAAAGTACTTTGTACTAAAATGTAGAGTTTTTTTAAAATCTTGTTAATAAAATGAAACCTGATTATGATGTCTGTGTGGAGTAATTTAGATTAGATTGAACTATGCCACAAGTAGATGGAAGCCTGTAAAGTCTGTGGCACACAGCTCTTCTGTACGTTGTCAGCACTTGATGTTCAAATAGAATGCATTGAAACAACTTGTATTGAGATGAAGAAATGCCAACGTAACTTTTTCAGCACACAAAACCTTTTCTTGCTTCTGGGCGTTGAAAGTAAACCACAATACAAAAGTAATAAATATTTTGGAACAATAGTAAAACAGTGTCTGCTATGAACAGACATGTAAACAACAAAAGTGTCTGGAATAAAGTGAAAGTGATTAGTGTCTGACTCCTGAGATGTCTGAACAACAACAGAACAAGTTGTTAATTTCATTGTGGTCCCAGTCGTTCGGTCCATGTCCTCTTCTTGAAGTCATGACCAACTCATGCAGCTGGTGATCGAATTCCTTCCTGAGTTTTGGGCGGAGTTCATCCATGAAATCAGCTATAGGTGCAGGGCCCTGTGGAGAGAATAAGAGAGGGGGAAAAAGTAAGAGAGGAAAGGGGATCGGTAAAGGAGAGTCTGAAGTTATTTTTATGTATTTAACTCTGGTACAAGCTGGTGGCTCGGTGCATGACCATCTCCTGATCTTGAGATCTGACTTCAATGCCTTAGCGAGTGATGTGTCAAGGGCTGAGTCTGCAGCTCTTTTCTCCCTTCTTCTCACACCCTTCGTACTACTGCTGCAGCTCTGTGGCATTGGTGAGGAGCAAGCCAGTGGAGTAGGTATTGGAGGTGATAGTCAGGATAGAGCTTCCCAGGATCTGCATGGAGATTGTTTCTAATTGTGCACGGCAGCTCAGTGAGGGAGATGGGCTGGGGGCCAATAACCAGTCAGTACTGGGAGCAGAGGTAGTGCTTGGGGCCGGTGAACAGGCAGCGCTGGGGTGCAGAGAACAACCAGGTACTGTCTCCATTCACTGGTGTTTGTGCCTTGAAAAATAAATTAGATGGCTATTTAGTACACATCCAAATGATCAATGAACATATCAAACTACAATAGACTATATGTTTGAGCAGAGTTGAGTAGGCCTGGCCTAGCTACTCAAATCTGCTCAAACGTTTGCAACATTTTGACTAGTTGGACCTTGCTACAAAACTTTTGACTTCGGTGTTACCAGTCTTAAAGCTTATGATTTTCTTTCTCTGACAAAATGATGTTTGTTCAAAAGTTGCAAAGATCTTTAGTTGGTTGGCTTGCTTTCTCTGCTGCTAGGCTAGCTAGCCATTAGCCAGCCAAGTAGCTAGCACTAGCTGTTGTTAGCAAAACATGGCTACTCTTTTTATCGACTACAATAGAAAATACAACAACATAGCTCATCCTTTTGTGAAGACTATATGTTGCTTTCAGTCTTCACGTGCCAAACAAGCAGGCAGCAACATTTCTGGAGTAGCCTTTCCACCAGCATCTCCACTGCGATCCTTGTTTCTTTTCTTTGCCTTGAACTTGTTGCGAACCCTACTCCACTTTTTCGAACAAGTAGTTGGGTCGGAGCCCAGCGTCTCCGCAATCTCCCTAAATTAATTGGCATTTACATGCTGGTCTTTATATAATACATTCATGGCTAGAATCGTATTGGTGAAGGTACTTCTCCACCACCTCAGTCAATCGAGTTGTTGTTCGCCATGTTGAATCCACACTGAGTTTCGGGCTGAATCGACAAGAAGAAGAAACTTGCATCACCCCTACAGTTGACCAATCACGGACGAAGAGGCGTAGACTTTGGCTCCCGAACTTAGGCTGGCCTTGAGAAAATGTTTTGTGCCTAAACAGCCGAAAAAACCCTAGCTGAAAACCAAAACGCCCCAAAATGTTGTCATAATATATGCACAAACTATTTCGGTTGGGAAGCATGCGGCTGCCTTAACATTCTACATATTTTCAAGCATGGTGGTGGCTGCATCGTGTTATGGGTATGCTTGTCATCGGCAAGGACTAGGGACTTTTTTTAGGATAAAAAAAAACAAACAGAATCGAGCTAAGCAAAGGCAAAGAGGAGGAAAACCTGGTTGATTGCTTTCCAATAGGCACTGGGAGAGAAATCCACCTTTCAGCAGGACAATAACCTAAAAAAAAAAGGCCAAATATACACTGGAGTTGCTAACCAAGATGACATTGAATGTTCCTGAGTGGCCTAGTTACAGTTTTGACTTACAGTACCAGTCAAAAGTTTGGACACACCTACTCCTTCACAGGTTTTTCTTAATTTGTACTATTTTTTACAATGTAGAATAATAGTGTAGACATCAAAACTATGAAATAACACATGGAATTATGTAGTAATCAGAAAAGTGTTAAACAAGTCAAAATATATTTGAGATTCTTCAAATAGCCACCCTTTGCCTTGATGGCACCTTTGCACACTCTTAGCATTCTCTCAACCAGCTTCACCTGGAATGCTTTTCCAACAGTCTTGAAGGAGTTCCCACATATGTTGAGCACTTGTTGGCTGCTTTTCCTTCACTCTGCTGTTCGACTCATCTCAAACCATCTCAATTGGGTTGAGGTTGGGGGATTGTGGAGGCCAGGTCATCTGATGCAGCACTCCATCACTCTCCTAATTGGTCAAATAGCCCTTACACAGCCTGGAGGTGTGTTAGGTCATTGTCCTGTTGAAAAACAAATGATAGTCCCTCTAAGCCCAAACCAGATGGGATGGTGTATCACTGCAGAATGCTGTGGTAGCCATGCTGGTTAAGTGTGTCTTGAATTCTAAATAAATCCCTGACAGTGTCACCAGCAAAGCACCCCCACACCATAACACCACCTCCTCCATGCTTTACGGTGGGAACTACACATGCGGAGATCATCCGTTCACCCACACCGTCTCACAAAGACAAGGCGGTTTGTACCAAAAATCTCCAATTGGGACTCCAGACTAAAAGACAGATTTCCACCGTTCTAATGTCCATTGCTCATGTTTCTTGGTCCAAGCAGGTCTCTTCTTCTTATTTGTGTCCTTCAGTAGTGGTTTTTTTGCAGCAATTCGACCATGAAGGCCTGATTCACGCAGTCCCCTCTGAACAGTTGATGTTGAGATGTGTCTGTTACTTGAACTCTATGAATAATTTATTTGGGCTGCAATGTCTGAGGCTGGTAACTCTAATGAACTTATCCTCTACAGCAGAAGTAACTTTTGGTCTTCCATTCCTGTGGCGGTCCTCATGAGAGCCAGTTTCATCATAGCGCTTGATGGTTTTTGCACCTGCACTTGAAGAAACTTTCAAAGTTCTTAAATGTCTTAAGGTAATGATGGACTGTCATTTGTCTTTGCTTATTTGAGCTGTTCTTGCCATAATATGGACTTGGTCTTTTACTACATAGGGCTATCTTCTGTATACCCCCCCCAGCTGATCAGCTTTAATATTGCAGATAGATTGTCCATGAATGTAATTGTCTGCATCACTTCCAATCCCCCATATGTTTCTTTTCTCGCATATATATATATATATATATATATATATATATATATACACATACATATAAATACATACATACAGTTGAAGTCGGAAGTTTACATATACTTAGGTTGGAGTCATTAAAACTCGTTTTTCAACCACTCCACAAATGTCTTGTTAACAAACTATAGTTTTGGCAAGTCAGTTAGGACATCTACTTTGTGCATGACACAAGTAAGTTTTCCAACAATTGTTTACAGACAGATTATTTCACTTATAATTCACTGTATCACAATTCCAGTGGGTCAGAAGTTTACATAAACTATGTTGACTGTGCCTTTAAACAGCTTGGAAAATTCCAGAACATGATGTCATAGCTTTAAAAGCTTCTGATAGGCTAATTGACATCATTTGAGTCAATTGGAGGTGTACCTGTGGATGTATTTCAAAAATGGGAAAATCAAAAGAAATCAGCCAAGACCTCAGAAAAAAACATTGTAAACCTCCAGAAGTCTGGTTCATCCTTTGGAGCAATTGCCAAATGCCTGAAGGTACCACGTTCATCTGTACAAACAATAGTATGCAAGTATAAACACAATGGGACCAGGCAGCCGTCATACCGCTCAGGAAGAAGACGCGTTCTGTCTCCTAGAGATGAATGTACTTTGGTGCAAAAAGCGCAAATCAATCCCAGAACAACAGCAAAGGACCTTGTGAAGATGCTGGAGGAAACAGGTAGAAAAGTATCTATATCCACAGTACAACAAGTCCTATATCGACATAACCTGAAAGACCGCTCAGCAAGGAAGAAGCCACTGCTCCAAAACCGCCATAAAAAAGTAAGACTACGGTTTGCAACTGCACATGGGGACAAAGATCGTACTCTTTGGAGAAATGTCTGGTCTGATGTAACAAAAATAGAACTGTTTGGCCATAATATTTTGTATTGCGAAACATACTAGAAATAAGAGAAAAAAACTGAACTTGAGCGTGCATAACTATTCACCCCCCCCCCCCCCCCCCCCCCCCCAAAAGTCAATAATTTGTAGAGCCACCTTTTGCAGCAATTACTGCTGCAAGTCTCTTGGGGTATGTCTCTATAAGCTTGGCACATCTAGCCACTGGGATTTTTGCCCATTCTTCAAGGCAAAACTGCTCCAGCTTCTTCAAGTTAGATGGGTTCTGCTGGTGTACTGCAATCTTTAAGTCATACCACCGATTCTCAATTGGATTGAAGTCTGGCCTTTGACTAGGCCCTTCCAATACATTTAAATGTTTCCCCTTAAACCACTCAAGTGTTGCTTTAGCAGTATGCTTAGGGTCATTGTCCTGCTGGAAGGTGAACCTCCGTCCCAGTCTCAAATCTCTGTAAGATTGAAACAGGTTTCCCTCAAGAATTTCCCTGTACTTAGCGCCATCCATCATTCCTTCAATTCTGACCAGTTTGGTGTTCTCGGGGTGATGAGAGGTATTGGGTTTGCGCGTTTTCCTTGATGGCCAAAATGCTCAATTTTAGTCTCATCTGACCAGAGTACCTTCTTCCATATGTTTGGGGAGTCTCCCACATGCCTTTTGGCGAACACCAAACGTGTTTGCTTATTTTTTTCTTGAAGCAATGGCTTTTTTCTGGCCACTCTTCCGTAAATCCCAACTCTGTGGAGTGTACGGTTTAAAGTGATCCTATGGACAGATACTCAAATCTCCGCTGTGGAGCTTTGCAGCTCCTTCAGGGTTATGTTTGGTCTCTTTGTTGCCTCTCTGATTAATGCTCTCCTTGCCTGGGCCGTGAGTTTTTGTGGGCGGTCCTCTCTTGGCAGGTTTGTTGTGGTGCCATATTCTTTCAATTTTTTAATAATGGCTTTAATGGTGCTCCGTTGGATGTTCAACGTTTCTGATATTTTCTTATAACCCAACACTGATCTGTGCTTCTCCACAACTTTGTCGCTGACCTGTTTGGAGAGCTCCTTGGTCTTCATGGTGTCGCTTGCTTGTTGGTGCCGCTTGCTTAGTGGTGTTGCTTAGTGGGGCCTATCAGAACAGGTGAGTATATATACTGAGATCATGTGACAGATCACATGACACTTAGATTGCACACAGGTGGACTTTATTAAACTAATTATGTGACTTCTGAAGGTAATTGATTGCACCAGCTCCTGTAAGTCGCTCTGGATAAGAGCGTCTGCTAAATGACTAAAATGTAAATGTAAATGTAATCTTATTTAGGGGCTTCATAGCAAAGGGGGTGAATACATATGCACGCACCACTTTTCCGTTATTTATTTTTTTGAATTTTATGAAGCAAGTTATTTTTTTCATTTCACTTCACAAATTTGGTCTATTTTGTGTAGGTCCATTACATGAAATCCAAATAAAAATCAATTTAAATGACGGGTTATAATGCAACAAAATAGGAAAAACGCCAAGGGGGATGAATACTTTTGCAAGGCACTGTGTATTGAAGCAACATCTCAATATATCAGTCAGGAAGTTAAAGCTTGGTCGCAAATGGGTCTTCCAAATGGACAATGACCCCAAGCATACTTCCAAAGTTGTGGCAAAATGTCTTAAGGACAACAAAGTCAAGGTATTGGAGTGGCTATCACAAAGCCCTGACCTCAATACTATAGAACATTTGTGGGCAGAACTGAAAAAGCCTGTGCGAGCAAGGAGGCCTACAAACCTGACTCAGTTACACCAGCTCTGTCAGGAGGAATGGGCCAAAATTCACCCAACTTATTGTGGGAAGCTTGTGGAAGGCTACCCGAAACGTTTGACCCAAGTTAAACAATTTAAAGACAATGCTACCAAATTCTAATTGAGTGTATGTAAACTTCTGACCCACTGGGAATGTGATGAAAGAAATAAAAGCTGAAATAAATCTCTCTCTACTATTATTCTGACATTTAACATTCTTAAAATAAAGTGGTGGTCCTAACTGACCTAAGACGGCAGGTAGCTTAGTGGTTAAGAGCGTTGTGCCAGTAACCGAAAGGTCGCTGGTTCTAATCCCCGAGCCGACTAGGTGAAATATCTGTCGATGTGCCCTTGAGCAAGGCACTTAACTCTAATTGCTCCTGTAAGTCTGGATAAGAGCGTCTGCTAAATGACAAAAAAAAAAAAGGAAAAAATACATCTTTACTAGGATTAAATGTCTGGAATTGTGAAAAACTGAGTTTAAATGTATTTAGCTAAGGTGTACAGTGGGGAAAAAAAGTATTTAGTCAGCCACCAATTGTGCAAGTTCTCCCACTTAAAAAGATGAGAGAGGCCTGTAATTTTCACCATAGGCACACGTCAACTATGACAGACAAAATGAGAAAGAAAAATCCAGAAAATCACATTGTAGTATTTTTTATGAATTTATTTGCAAATTATGGTGGAAAATAAGTATTTGGTCAATAAAAAAAGTTTCTCAATACTTTGTTATATACCCTTTGTTGGCAATGACACAGGTCAAACGTTTTCTGTAAGTCTTCACAAGGTTTTCACACACTGTTGCTGGTATTTTGGCCCATTCCTCCATGCAGATCTCCTCTAGAGCAGTGATGTTTTGGGGCTGTCGCTGGGCAACACGGACTTTCAACTCCCTCCAAAGATTTTCTATGGGGTTGAGATCTGGAGACTGGCTAGGCCACTCCAGGACCTTGAAATGCTTCTTACGAAGCCACTCCTTCGTTGCCCGGGCGGTGTGTTTGGGATCATTGTCATGCTGAAAGACCCAGCCACGTTTAATCTTCAATGCCCTTGCTGATGGTAGGAGGTTTTCACTCAAAATCTCACGATACATGGCCCCATTCATTCTTTCCTTTACACGGATCAGTCGTCCTGGTCCCTTTGCAGAAAAACAGCCCCAAAGCATGATGTTTCCACCCCCATGCTTCACAGTAGGTATGGTGTTCTTTGGATGCAACTCAGCATTCTTTGTCCTCCAAACACGACGAGTTGAGTTTTTACCAAAAAGTTATATTTTGGTTTCATCTGACCATATGACATTCTCCCAATCCTCTTCTGGATCATCCAAATGCACTCTAGCAAACTTCAGATGGGCCTGGACATGTACTGGCTTAAGCAGGGGGACACGTCTTGCACTGCAGGATTCATTTTGACCCCACGGGTTGAGATCTTGCGTGGAGCCCCAGATCGAGGGAGATTATCAGTGGTCTTGTATGTCTTCCATTTCCTAATAATTGCTCCCACAGTTGATTTCTTCAAACCAAGCTGCTTACCTATTGCAGATTCAGTCTTCCCAGCCTGGTGCAGGTCTACAATTTTGTTTCTGGTGTCCTTTGACAGCTCTTTGGTCTTGGCCATAGTGGAGTTTGGTGTGTGACTGTTTGAGGTTGTGGACAGGTGTCTTTTATACTGATAACAAGTTCAAACAGGTGCCATTAATACAGGTAACGAGTGGAGGACAGAGGAGCCTCTTAAAGAAGAAGTTACAGGTCTGTGAGAGCCAGAAACCTTGCTTATTTGTAGGTGACCAAATACTTATTTTCCACCATAATTTGCAAATAAATTCATAAAAAATCCTACAATGTGATTTTCTGGTTTTCTTTCCTCAATTTGTCTGTCATAGTTGACGTGTACCTATGATGAAAATTACAGGCCTCTCTCATCTTTTTAAGTGGGAGAACTTGCACAATTGGTGGCTGACTAAATACTTTTTTTCCCCACTGTATGTAAATTTCCGACTTCAACTGTATATATACATACCCTTTAAAAATATATATATTTCCCTTTATTTACTTTCCAACCCCACCACCCCTTCCCTGATTGGAGTAAACCAGTGAACCACAATGCTTAGTTCTCTACTTCCAGCTTATACATGCTATATACATTTTATGGACACAGTCAATTTTACAATAATTATATTTTGTTTGTATTTACCATTGAACTTCCTCTACCCTTGACCTCTCCGATCGTTTTCATGATGTCCATCTGGTTTGCTTCTATATGCCATATCTTTCTAACTGTGCTCTTTCTCAAAAGCTCTCAACCTATAACCTATACAGTGGGGAGAACAAGTATTTGATACACTGCCGATTTTGCAGGTTTTCCTACTTACAAAGCATGTAGAGGTCTGTCATTTTTATCATAGCTACACTTCAACTGTGAGAGATGGAATCTAAAACAAAAATCCAGAAAATCACATTGTATGATTTTTAAGTAATTAATTTGAATTTTATTGCATGACATAAGTATTTGATACATCATAAAAGCAGAACTTAATATTTGGTACAGCAACCTTTGTTTGCAATTACAGAGATCATACATTTCCTGTAGGTCTTTACCAGGTTTGCATACACTGCAGCAGGGATTTTGGCCCACTCCTCCATATAGACCTTCTCCAGATCATTCAGGTTTCGGGGATGTTGCTGGGCAATACGGACTTTCAGCTCCCTCCAAAGATTTTCTATTGGGTTCAGGTCTGGAGACTGGCTAGGCCACTCCAGGACCTTGAGATGCTTCTTACGGAGCCACTCCTTAGTTGCCCTGGCTGTGTGTTTCGGGTCGTTGTCATGCTGGAAGACCCAGCCACGACCCATCTTCAATGCTCTTACTGAGGGAAGGAGGTTGTTGGCCAAGATCTCGCGATACATGGCCCCATCCATCCTCCCCTCAATACGGTGCAGTCGTCCTGTCCCCTTTGCAGAAAAGCATCCCCAAAGAATGATGTTTCCACCTCCATGCTTCACGGTTGGGATGGTGTTCTTGGGGTTGTACTCATCCTTCTTCTTCCTCCAAACACGGCGAGTGGAGTTTAGACAAAAAAGCTCAATTTTTGTCTCATCAGACCACATGACCTTCTCCCATTCCTCCTCTGGATCATCCAGATGGTCATTGACAAACTTCAGACGGGCCTGGACATGCGCTGGCTTGAGCAGGGGGACCTTGCGTGCGCTGCAGGATTTTAATCCATGACGGCGTAGTGTGTTACTAATGGTTTTCTTTGAGACTGTGGTCCCAGCTCTCTTCAGGTAATTTTACCAGGTCCTGCCGTGTAGTTCTGGGTTGATCCCTCACCTTCCTCATGATCATTGATGCCCCACGAGGTGAGATCTTGCATGGAGCCCCAGACCGAGGGTGATTGACCGTCATCTTGAACTTCTTCCATTTTCTAATAGTTGTTGCCTTCTCACCAAGCTGCTTGGCGATGGTCTTGTAGCCCATTCCAGCCTTGTGTAGGTCTACAATCTTGTCCCTGACATCCTTGGAGAGCTCTTTGGTCTTGGCCATGGTGGAGAGTTTGGAATCTGATTGATTGATTGCTTCTGTGGACTGGTGTCTTTTATACAGGTAACAAGCTGAGATTAGGAGCACTCCCTTTAAGAGTGTGCTCCTAATCTCAGCTCGTTACCTGTATAAAAGACACCTGGGAGCCAGAAATCTTTCTGATTGAGAGGGGGTAAAATACTTATTTCCCTCATTAAAATGCAAATCAATTTATAACATTTTTGACATGCGTTTTTCTGGATTTTTTTGTTGTTATTCTGTTTCTCACTGTTCAAATAAACCTACCATTAAAATTATAGACTGATCATTTCTTTGTCAGTGGGCAAACATACAAAATCAGCAGGGGATCAAATACTTGTCATACAAAAACCCCAGTCGTACTTTATCAAATGCCTTTTCAAAGTCTGCTATGAATAGCAGGCCTGGTTTCCCAGATTTTCATAGTGTTCTATTGTTTCCAGTACTTGCCTTATACACTGCTCAAAAAAATTAAGGGAACACTTAAACAACACAATGTAACTCCAAGTCAATCACACTTCTGTGAAATCAAACTGTCCACTTAGGAAGCAACACTGATTGACAATACATTTCACATGCTGTTGTGCAAATGGAATAGACAACAGGTGGAAATTATAGGCAATTAGCAAGACACCCCCAATAAAGAAGTGGTTCTGCAGGTGGAGACCACAGACCACTTCTCAGTTCCTATTCTTCCTGGCTGATGTTTTGGTCACTTTTGAATGCTGGCGGTGCTTTCACTCTAGTGGTAGAATGAGACGGAGTCTACAATCCACACAAGTGGGTCAGGTAGTGCAGCTCATCCAGGATGGCACATCAATGGGAGCTGTGGCAAGAAGGTTTGCTGTGTCTGTCAGCGTCGTGTCCAGAGCATGGAGACGCTACCAGGAGACAGGCCAGTACATCAGGAGACGTGGAGGAGGCTGTAGGAGGGCAACAACCCAGCAGCAGGACTTCTTACTTCCGCCTTTGTGCAAGGAGGAGCAGGAGGAGCACTGCCAGAGCCCTGCAAAATGACCTCCAGCAGGCCACAAATGTGCATGTGTCTGCTCAAACGGTCAGAAACAGACTCCATGAGGGTGGTATGAGGGCCCGACGTCCACAGGTGGGGGTTGTGCTTACAGCCCAACACCATGCAGGACGTTTGGCATTTGCCAGAGAACACCAAGATTGGCAAATTCGCCACTGGCGCCCTGTGCTCTTCACAGATGAAAGCAGGTTCACACTGAGCACATGTGACAGACGTGACAGTGTCTGGAGACACCGTGGAGAACGTTCTGCTGCCTGCAACATCCTCCAGCATGACCGGTTTGGCAGTGGGTCAGTCATGGTATGGGGTGGCATTTCTTTGGGGGGCCGCACAGCCCTCCATGTGCTCGCCAGACGTAGCCTGACTGCCATTAGGTACCGAGATGAGATCCTCAGACCCCTTGTGAGACCATATGCTGGTGCGGTTGGCACTGGGTTCCTCCTAATGCAAGACAATGCTAGACCTCATGTGGCTGGAGTGTGTCAGCAGTTCCTGCAAGAGGAAGGCATTGACGCTATGGACTGGCCCGCCCGTTCCCCAGACCTGAATCCAATTGAGCACATCTGGGACATCATGTCTCGCTCCATCCACCAACGCCACGTTGCACCACAGACTCTCCAGGAGTTGGCGGATACTTTAGTCCAGGTCTGGGAGGAGATCCCTCAGGAGACCATCTGCCACCTCATCAGGAGCATGCCCAGGCGTTGTAGGGAGGTCATACAGGCACGTGAAGGCCACACACACTACTGAGCCTCATTTTGACTTGTTTTAAGGACATTACATGGATTTGGACATTACTAATTTTGAGGGTGACTCCAAATCCAGACCTCCATGGGTTGATACATTTGTTTTCCATTGATAATTTTGTTGTCAGCACATTCAACTATGTAAAGAAAAAAGTATTTAATAAGATTATTTCATTCATTCAGATCTAGGATGTGTTGTTTAAGTGTTCCCTTTATTTTTTTGAGCAGTGTATTATCTCCAATGTATCGTACATGTAAAAAATCTGTCTGATTAGAATGAATAATGTCCGACAATACCTTTTTAATTCTATGTGCTATACATTTTGCTAGAATATTTGCATCACAAATCTGAAGTGTGAGGGGCCTCCAATTTTTTAAATGGACTGGATCTTTATATTTTCCACTTGTATCCTGTTTCAGTAATAATGAAGTCAGACCTTCTTCTTGAGTGTCTGATAATCTACCATTTACATAGGAGTGGTTAAAACATGCTAATAACGGTCCTCTGAGAATATCAAAACAGGTTTGGTATACCTCGACTGGCACACCTGTTAATTTAAATGCATTCCAAGTGACTACCTCATGATGCTGTTTGAGAGAATGCCAAGAGTGTACAAAGCTGTCATCAAGGCAAAGGGTGTCTACTTTGAAGAATCTCAAATATAAAATATATTTTGATTTGTTTAACACTTTTTTGGTTACTACATGATTCCATATGTGTTATTTCATAGTTTTGATGTCTTCACTATTATTCTACAATGTAAAAAATTGTGCAAATAAAGAAAAACCCTTGAATGAGTAGGTTTGTCCAAACTTTTGACTGGTAGTGTAAATCGAAAATATATTGCAAGACTTAGATTGCTGTCTAGCAATGATCAACAGCCAACTTGACAGAGCTTGAAATAATAATGTGCAAATATTGTACAATCCAGGTGTGCAAAGCTCTTAGACTTACCCAGAAAGACTCACCGCTGTAATCGCTGCCAAAGTTGATTCTAACATGTATTGACTCAGGGTGTGAATAGTTATGTAAATGAGCTATTTCTGTATTTCATTTTCAAAATATTTTCACAAATTTCACTAGGTCATTAATCAATTCTGAATTCAGGCTGTAACACAACAAATTGTGGAATAAGTCAAGGGGTATGAATACTTTATGAAGGCATTGTACATAGCCAATTAATACAATACAGCTTTGGATTTCACCCATGTCTCAAAAGCGAATGGTTTTGACCGTTTGGAACTTTACAGAGGAGAGCTGCTCTCTTCACCCGTTCCGACCAGTGCGGCTCGCAAAAATGCTGTCGTTAGGACACCTTTACCCTGTTCATGTAAAAGTCACCAAATACACAGACTGTTTAAACCATAACTATCAAAAATATTTTGTATGGGGAACCTGGCAATTGAAAAGCCCCAATCAGCAGTTAGATGTGCAATCAGCAAGATGTGAGTTGTGGCCACTCTGGTAGCCTAAAACAGTTGTTTTACAGCATATTTGGTAACAATGACCCAGAAAATTAAATTCGTTTTCCTTCAATTAATAAAGCCTATGATTTATTATTGCGAAAACCATTTTACAAACATCTGAATGCTGAAGGTGCCGCGCAGATGTAGCCTAGGAATATTAGAACAGGGATAGGGTAGGCCTACCTCTCGTTGGCGCGAGCAGCTGCGTCTCCCGCACTGTGCGCACTGTTGTTATCTGACTTGTAGGTCAATGTCATATGCCGTTACATGCATAAAATGTTGATAGGCTGAAGGAGAGTGCATCAATTCAGTCAGAAAAGATTCAAGTTATTTTCGGAATAAGACAGAAAAAAAGAGTAAACTTTAGTGAACTTGAGATTCATAACATTTTAATCGGTTTTCTTACCGATGCATGCTTCATTTGGATCGGGACCGATGTCTATCGTGAATCGTTACATCCCTACGTCTTTGTGTATGTCAAAATACTGTAGGCCTATGATCAATGGTCTGATTATCTCTTTGTCAATCAACCCTCACAGGATCTCCTGGACCAAGCCCGCTGGAAAATGCTGATCCAACAGTTCAGATATGACAACTACAGATTACATCAGCTGGGCAACAACTCTGTGTTTACCATCACACTCCAGGCTGGCTTGTCTGCTATCAAAACTCCGTATCCTTTCTGGTCACAGCTCTGTAGTTTTGCTATTTCAGGCAGTAACATCATGCAGTGCTCTGTCGTCTGCTTTTTTTGCTGATGCGCTTTCTGTCTCCTTTTGGTTGTGATGGCAGACCTCGTGAATTACTTATCCAAAACCGCACATCAGGGTACATAACTCTTAAAAATGTGTCTCAATGTGTTCTGCCACAGACCCCCAGCTGTGAGGTAATGGAATGTAAAGTAAAATTAACAAATTTGAACCCTTAACCTTTCTACTCCTAGTCAGTGCTATAAGGAAGATAGCACCTCTATAAACCCAGACTGCCCTGTGTGCAGCAAGTCCCTGAACAAACTGGCCCAGCCCCTGCCAATGGCACACTGTGCCAACTCCCGTCTGGTGTGCAAAATCTCTGGGGAGGTGATGAACGAGAACAACCCACCCATGATGCTGCCCAACGGCTATGTGTATGGTTACAATGTGAGTCTCTACATCCCACACGTTTCTTTTTTACAATGGCAATGTAATAATATCAATCAATCAATCAATCAATTTTATTTTATATAGCCCTTCGTACATCAGCTAATATCTCGAAGTGCTGTACAGAAACCCAGCCTAAAACCCCAAACAGCTAGTAATGCAGGTGTAGAAGCACGGTGGCTAGGAAAAACTCCCTAGAAAGGCCAAAACCTAGGAAGAAACCTAGAGAGGAACCAGGCTATGAGGGGTGGCCAGTCCTCTTCTGGCTGTGCCGGGTGGAGATTATAACAGAACCATGCCAAGATGTTCAAAAATGTTCATAAGTGACAAGCATGGTCAAATAATAATCAGGAATAAATCTCAGTTGGCTTTTCATAGCCGATCATTAAGAGTTGAAAACAGCAGGTCTGGGACAGGTAGGGGTTCCATAACCGCAGGCAGAACAGTTGAAACTGGAATAGCAGCAAGGCCAGGCGGACTGGGGACAGCAAGGAGTCACCACGGCCGGTAGTCCCGACGTATGGTCCTAGGGCTCAGGTCTCTCAGTTGGCTTTTCATAGCCGATCATTAAGAGTTGAAAACAGCAGGTCTGGGACAGGTAGGGGTTTCGTAACCGCAGGCAGAACAGTTGAAACTGGAATAGCAGCAAGGCCAGGCGGACTGGGGACAGCAAGGTGTCAGCATGCCCGGTAGTCCTGACGTATGGTCCTAGGGCTCAGGTTCTCAGAGAGAAAGAGAGAACGAGAGAATTAGAGAGAGCATACTTAAATTCACACAGGACACTGGATAAGACAGGAGAAGTACTCCAGGTATAACCAACTAACCCCAGCCCCCCGACACATAAACTACTGCAGCATAAATACTGGAGGCTGAGACAGGAGCGGTCCGGAGACACTGTGGCCCCATCCGAAGAAACCCCCGGACAGGGCCAAACAGGAAGGATATAACCCCACCCACTCTGCCAAAGCACAGCCCCCGCACCACTAGAGGGATATCCTCAACCACCAACTTACAATCCTGAGACAAGGCCGAGTATAGCCCACAGAGGTCTCCACCACAGCACAAACCAAGGGGGGGCGCCAACCCAGACAGGAAGATCACGTCAGTAACTCAACCCACTCAAGTGACGCACCCCTCCTAGGGACGGCATGAAAGAGCACCAGCAAGCCAGTGACTCAGCCCCTGTAACAGGGTTAGAGGCAGAGAACCCCAGTGGAGAGAGGGGAACCGGCCTGGCAGAGACAGCAAGGGCTGTTCGTTGCTCCAGAGCCTTTCCGTTCACCTTCACACTCCTGGGCCAGACTTCACTCAATCATATGACCTACTGAAGAGATAAGTCTTCAGTAAAGACTTAAAGGTTGAGACCGAGTCTGCGTCTCTCACATGGGTAGGCAGACTGTTCCATAAAAATGGAGATCTATAGGAGAAAGCCCTGCCTCCCGCTGTTTGCTTAGAAATTCTAGGGACAATTAGGAGGCCTGCGTCTTGTGACCGTAGCGTACGTATTGGTATGTACGGCAGGACCAACTCGGAAAGATAGGTAGGAGCAAGCCCATGTAACGCTTTATAGGTTAACAGTAAAACCTTGAAATCAGCCCTTGCCTTAACAGGAAGCCAGTGTAGGGAAGCTAGCACTGGAGTAATATGATCAAATTTCTTGGTTCTAGTCAGGATTCTAGCAGCCGTATTTAGCACTAACTGAAGTTTATTTAGTGCTTTATCCGGGTAGCCGGAAAGTAGAGCATTGCAGTAGTCTAACCTAGAAGTAACAAATGCATGGATTAATTTTTCTGCATCATTTTTGGACAGAAAATTTCTGATTTTTGCAATGTTACGTAGATGGAAAAAAGCTGTCCTTGAAACAGTCTTGATATGTTCGTCAAAAGAGAGATCAGGGTCAAGAGTAACGCCGAGGTCCTTCACAGTTTTATTTGAGACGACTTTACAACCATCAAGATGAATTGTCAGATTTAACAGAAGATCTCTTTGTTTCTTGGGACCTAGAACAAGCATCTCTGTTTTGTCCGAGTTTAAAAGTAGAAAGTTTTCAGCCATCCACTTCCTTATGTCTGAAACACAGGCTTCTAGCGAGGGCAATTTTGGGGCTTCACCATGTTTCATTGAAATGTACAGCTGTGTGTCATCCGCATAGCAGTGAAAGTTAACATTATGTTTTCGAATAACATCCCCAAGAGGTAAAATATATAGTGAAAACAATAGTGGTCCTAAAACGGAACCTTGAGGAACACCGAAATGTACAGTTGATTTGTCGGAGGACAGACCATTCACAGAGACAAACTGATATCTTTCCGACAGGTAAGATCTAAACCAGGCCAGAACTTGTCCGTGTAGACCAATTTGGGTTTCCAGTCTCTCCAAAAGAATGTGGTGATCGATGGTGTCAAAGGCAGCACTAAGGTCTAGTAGCACGAGGACAGATGCAGAGCCTCGGTCTGACGCCATTAAAAGGTCATTTACCACCTTCACAAGTGCAGTCACAGTGCTATGATGGGGTCTAAAACCAGACTGAAGCATTTCGTATACATTGTTTGTCTTCAGAAAGGCAGTGAGTTGCTGCGCAACAGCTTTTTCTAAAATTTTTGAGAGGAATGGAAGATTCGATATAGGCCGATAGTTTTTTATATTTTCCGGGTCAAGGTTTGGCTTTTTCAAGAGAGGCTTTATCACTGCCACTTTTAGTGAGTTTGGTACACATCCGGTGGATAGAGAGCTGTTTATTATGTTCAACATAGGAGGGCCAAGCACAGGAAGCAGCTCCTTCAGCAGTTTAGTAGGAATAGGATCCAGTATGCAGCTTGAAGGTTTAGAGGCCATGATTATTTTCATCATTGTGTCAAGAGATATAGTACTAAAACACTTAAGTGTCTCTCCCGATCCCAGGCCCTCGCAGAGCTGTGCAGATCCAGGACAGCTAAGCCCTGGAGGAATACGCAGATTCAAAGAGGAGTCCGTAATTTGCTTTCTAATGGTCATGATCTTTTCCTCAAAGAAGTTCATGAATTTATTACTGCTGAAGTGAAAGCCATCCTCTCTTGAGGAATGCTGCTTTTTAGTTAGCTTTGCAACAGTATCAAAAAGAAATTTTGGATTGTTCTTATTTTCCTCGATTAAGTTGGAAAAGTAGGATGATCGAGCAGCAGTGAGGGCTCTTCGGTACTGCACGGTACTGTCTTTCCAAGCTAGTCGGAAGACTTCCAGTTTGGTGTGGCGCCATTTCCGTTCCAATTTCCTGGAAGCTTGCTTCAAAGCTCGGGTATTTTCTGTATACCAGGGAGCTAGTTTCTTATGACAAATGTTTTTCGTTTTTAGGGGTGCAACTGCATCTAGGGTATTGCGCAAGGTTAAATTGAGTTCCTCAGTTAAGTGGTTAACTGATTTTTGTCCTCTGACGTCCTTGGGTAGGCAGAAGGAGTCTGGAAGGGCATCAAGGAATTTTTGTGTTGTCTGAGAATTTATAGCACGACTTTTGATGCTCCTTGGTTGGGGTCTGAGCAGATTATTTGTTGCGTTTGCAAACGTAATAAAATGGTGGTCCGATAGTCCAGGATTTTGTGGAAAAACATTAAGATCTACAACATTTATTCCATGGGACAAAACTAGGTCCAGAGTATGACTGTGGCAGTGAGTAGGTCCAGAGACATGTTGGACAAAACCCACTGAGTCGATGATGGCTCCGAAAGACTTTTGGAGTGGGTCTGTGGACTTCTCCATGTGAATATTAAAATCACCAAAAATTAGAATATGATCTGCTATGACTACAAGGTCTGATAGGAATTCAGGAAACTCAGAGAGTAACGCTGTATATGGCCCAGGAGGCCTGTAAACAGTAGCTATAAAAAGTGATTGAGTAGGCTGCATAGATTTCATGACTAGAAGCTCAAAAGACGAAAACGCCATTTTTTTTTTTGTAAATTGAAATTTGCTATCGTAAATGTTAGCAACACCTCCGCCTTTGCGGGATGCACGGGGAATATGGTCACTAGTGTAACCAGGAGGTGAGGCCTCATTTAACACAGCAAATTCATCAGGCTTAAGCCATGTTTCAGTCAGGCCAATCACATCAAGATTATGATCAGTGATTAGTTCATTGACTATGACTGCCTTTGAAGTGAGGGATCTAACATTAAGTAACCCTATTTTGAGATGTGAGGTATGTGAGGTATCACGATATTCATTGTTTTCATTCATTATTGATGTTAATAATTTGTCCTTCCTTTTCTAGTCTCTTCTATCCATTCGCCAAGACGACAAGGTGATCTGCCCCAGAACCAAAGAAGTCTTCAACTTCTCCCAGGCTGAGAAGGTGTACATCATGTGATGGGGTAGATACTGGATCTCATGTGATAGATACACCTCCTCTACTATGACCACCTTGTCCAGTCTGAGTGCAGTGGAGCCTTCAGCCCCCCCCCCACCGACCTGCCAACCCTGCCTCCCACTATGGAGAATAGGCCCAAAATCATCTTGGGCAGATTTGTGAAACCGGACTAATTAACATACTTTTGTTTTTAAAGTGTTGATGTTTTTACTTTTAATTAACCTATAGTCCAACCGGCAGTGTGGCGCGTTATAACTCGGTATTGCTCCAATATGATAAGAGGAGCTTCTCTTTTGCCTTTTTACCTTAGTTAAATCAGACTTACTTAAATCAGAATTACAGGCTGATCACCTTGGTGTTTGCTACATGATGGCACTCATTTCATGATGTGCACAATTTACATAATTTCTGTGTAGCTGTGTGTGGGGGGGGGGGGGGGGGGGGGGGGATAAATAGAAATACCTTGAAATTGGTAATCTTGTGTTTGTCCCCCCTGTGAAATCTGTGATTGCAGATCTGGGACGATACACTCAATCTTGTAAATACTAGAGCGTTGATCATTTGTGTGCAGATTCAGGTCTTTCAAAATGTTAGAGAAACTCCCCCTACACCTTCCACTTATCAGGCTTGAACAGTCTCACTGTTATTGCTTGGAGTATGGTATGGCAACCTTGTACACAGACCTAATGTATACTCTACTACACAGTAGTGGATTTGTGTCTTACAAGGGAACATGCCAGGTCTGCTCACCTTCTGAAGAGGACCTTGACAAATGGTGTAACTTACAAAAGACTACCTTTTCCAGTGTTTTTTTTTTTTATTAACAAGTGGTCTTCTTAGTTTGTGAAGATTGGCGATGCATTTTTGTTTTTTTTACACCCGCATAAAGATGGGTTAATTCATCACTGTACTTTTGATATTTATTTAGTTATACAACTCTGATTGACATAGTCATTGAGTATTTTGGATTGACTATCTTAATTGCATACATATTTTTCAACGATGAACATTGCATTGTAATAAAAGAGAATTTTGATGATATTTTTTGCTCTTAATTTTGTATTATCTTTTACCGATGTTAAGACATTTTGTATGACTAACACAAGTTGCTGCAGATTTCTCAAGGGGCTATTGTTGGTCCAAGGAGTTCCTTGAAATGAGCAAGGGTCACCTTACCATATGTTGGTGTACCTTCCATCACTCCCACCTTTAATTCATCTTGGCTGGTTGCTTCTGAACTGTTTAGTATTGTTATTGTAGAGAGACTGTTTAGAAACTGATCATGCATGTATTATATTGTTAGGATAGATTGATTGATTGATCATGAACCATTGCTGATACAATTGTTTTACTACAATTGGGTCCTGTCTTTCTTTCTATCCACCCAACATCTCCATAGAAGTTGAAGTACTGCTTTATCAGACTGAATATGACAGCGAGTTATGCATACCCAAATCAATGGCAATTGGCAACATACAGTACATGACCAAAGTATGTGGACACCTGCTTGTCGAATATCTCATTCCAAAATCATGGGCATTAATATGGAGTTGGTCCTCCCTTTGCTGGTATATCAGCCTCCACTCTTCTGGGAAGGCTTTCCACTAGATATTGGAACATTGCTGCGGGAACTTGTTTTCATTCAGCCACAAGAGCATTACTGAGGTTGGGCACTGGTGTTGGGCAATTAGGCCTGGCTCGCAGTCGGCGTTCCAATTCATCCAAAAGGTGTTTGATGGGGTTGAGGTCAGGGCTCTGTGCAGGCCAGTCAAGTTCTTCCACACCGATCTCGACAAACCATTTCTGGAAAGGAAAGGGCCTTACCCAAACTGTTGCCACAAGTTGGAAGCACAGAATCGTCTAGAACGTCATTGTATGCTGTAGCGTTAAGATTTCCCTTCACTTGAACTAAGGGGCCTAGCCCGAACCATGAAAAACAGCCCTAGACCATTATTCCTCCTCCACCAAACTTTACAGTTGGCACTATGCATTGGGGTGGGTAGCATTCTCCTGGCATACACCAAACCCAGATTCGTCCGTCGGACTACCAGATGGTGAAGCATGATTCATCACTCCAGAGAATGTGTTTCCACTGCTCCAGAGTCTAATGGCGGCGAACTTTACACCACTCCAGCCGACGCTTGGCATTCCGCATGGTGATATTAGTCTGGTGTGCGGCTGCTCAGCCATGGAAACCCATTTCATGAAGTTCCCGACGAACAGTTATTGTGCTGACGTTGCTTCCAGAGGCAGTTTGGAACTCGGTTGTAAGTGTTGCAACCGAGGACAGACAATTTTGACACGCTACGCGCTTCAGCACTCAACGGTCCCGTTCTGTGAGCTTGTGTGGCCTACCACTTGGCGGCTGAGCCGTTGTTTCTCCTAGACGTTTACACTTCATAATAACAGCCATACAGTTGACCGGGGCAGCTCTAGCAGAGTAGAAATTTGACAAACTTACTTGTTGGAAAAGTGGCATCCTATGACGGTGCCATGTTGAAAGTCACAGCTCTTCAGTAAGGCCATTCTACTGCCAATGTTTTTGCTATGGAGATTGCATGGCTGTGTGCACGATTTTATACACCTGTCAGCAACGGGTGTGGCTGAAATAGCCGAATCCACTAATGTCAAGGGGTGCCCACATACATTTGTATAAATAGTGTATATGTAGACTGAGAGACCATACTGTTTTTGCCTGAATGGTACACTGACATTTTCCTAAATATTCCTACTATTAAAGAGATTCTCCGGTACTTCTGTTTACTTTTTAGCCAGTAGTTCTGAAAGTAGGCTTACAAGCCAAAAGTGGTCCCTGAAAATTGCATACTAGGTGTGCAGATATGTGCACCAAGTCATTACAAACACTGCTGTGTGTGCATCTTGCTAGCTGTCACTCAAATGGCGAGGGGGTGAATCTCATTGGCTACAACTTGAATTGCTAGGGGGCTCGCCCACTTGGGGGGAAATCTAGGGAAAATGGCTCAGCACAGTCTCTTTCAAACCAGGGACTTTGTGGCTAATTGAGGTAAGACAGTAATTCTGTCATTGACACATCCAGCCCAAAAAATACTTTATATTCGCCAAAGTTCCGGAGCATGTCTTTAAAGTATGGCCTTTTATGACAATTTGCTTGACAGTAGCATATTTTAAAGTGTGGTGATACTAATGATTTGTCAGCACATATGGTTTGTTTACAAAGCAGGTTAGGATAATAAACATTGCAGGTTAGGAGAATGAGGTTAAAATTAAGAAAGGGGTTAGGTTTAGCTACAATGCAACAGTTGTCATGAACTGTGGTCCCCAATTGTCAACAACTGTGGTCCCCAACGTGACCACTAGATAGAGTTGTAAGCCTACATCTAGCCACAACTGTAGAAACGTAAACAAACCATCTGTGGTGACAAATCATCGGTATCATAGAGGAAGAGGCGAAGTGAGAGGGTTTACTCCGCCCAAAATATGTCCACGTTAATCAGATCATTAATTAAGTGAGGAGTTTTTGTATGGGGGGCAATGAGAGAGTGTCGAATTTAGTCAAGATAAAAATGTATTGCTATTTTGATTCGTGAGGCTTATTTGATCTAACAGAAGTTTCGTAATGCTTTGTTGTTATGAGTGTACTAATATAAGTGTGATGCACGTGACATCCCGGCAACCTTGAGAAAAAACACTTTATATCGGAGTTGTCCCTGTTGAAATTCGAGACGGTCAATGCATTCATGAGACTAGCATAGCATCTCACTCTATTGAAATCAGGCGGTAGACATCAACACCCCTCATCGAATATTCAAAAAAGTATTCAAATAACGAGATGTATCCACCAATCCAAAGAGAGGAATAAGTGGGAGCTTGACAGCCTGCCGTTCCACTCATTCATTCCTATGTGTAGACCCAATAGTGTATTGAAGTCAATGAAGTCGGTTAAGATGGCCGTCTCATGGAGACGGTTGTGACCAGAGGGAGTACAGCTACGACCGGAAGTTACTTTTCGTAACAGGTTAGGAGAGCATTTTAGCTAACCCTAACCCTTTTCCTAACCTTAACCTAAGCATCCTAACCTGACACGTTAATTATCCTAACCTGCTGCATAAATTTGAAAAAGTCACTTCCGGTCATAGCTGTACTCCCTCTAGTCAGAACCCATGGAGACATAACATGCACAGTTTGAGTTACTCCAGGATGTGACGTTGCAGGCTTGCTCAGCGCTGCCCCCCTCTCATTGAGTAACTCAAGTTGAAGGCCAACTGGGGAACTGTAGGCTGCAAGTAGCCTAGCGGTTAGAGAGGCGAGCCAGTAACCGGAGGGTTGCCCGTTCGATTCCCGGGTCTCACTGGAAAAATCTGTCGGGAAGTGAGCTGGCAACCGGATGGTTGCTGGTATCAAATCCTTGATGCCATTGCATACTGTTGTGCCCTTGAGCAAGGCACTTAACCCACCTACAACAACAGCTCCCCAGGTGCCCAGTGTGGCACCTCTCCAAAAACCTGTATATGTTTCTTTCGAAGGGGTTGGGTTAAAAGCGGAAGTCATATTTTGATTGGACCTTGTGTGCAATTGAACAATAAAGTGATCTTAATCATTAGGTATGATGAAGCGTTACAGATAACGCGCTAGAAATGTAAAGGTAATTTCGTATTAAGCCAACATCTGCAGCGTTTACAGTGAATGCTGTCTCAGCTAACGTGGTAACATTGCCTTTAAATTTAAATCACGCTGTAACGCTGAATTTCTGCGATACTGATTTAATAAAGCCCTAAATTATCCTTATAACTTCTTCTTCTGTGTGCGACTTTAAAATCATTTGGTATATTAGAAGCAATTATTAGTGCCATGATTGTCTTCCAAAAAATGTTTTATGTACACCAACATTTTTCCATTCACTATAATGGGGGATCCTGTTTTCTGCTAACAGTGCCTGCAGTACTGCGGTCGGCCTTGAACTTCCGTGGCTTCAATGAGAGGGGGCAGTCATTCTCCCATGCACCGTGATGTGAATT